CTTTTTTGTTCCCTCAGCCCTCGCCCCCGGGGGGTGTTGTGTTGGGCTTGTTGCTCTTAGCCCCCCACTATTTTATGTTGGGTTCTACGGAGGGATTTTAAAATTTCTTGGTGGCATCTCTTTGTCTATTTCTTGCGGGTGATGGTGACTGTGGGCCTCTTCATGCCAGTGCTGCCGTTTTTGACACTCTGGGAGTTTTCAGGGCAGTACTTGATGGTGTGAGCAGCGTCTCCGTTAGCTCCGCACAGCGGGCAGGTGTAGGCGCGGAGCACGGGGCAAGTCACCTTCCCGTCCGCGTCCTTCAGGTAGTGCGAAGTGTAGAAACTCTCCGTCTCCCCGTTGTTACGACAGAAGACGCAAACTTGCGGCTTCTTTGCTGCGGCGGTGGGCAGTTTCGTAGTAGCACTCCGGAGTAGCAGTGAATGGGGGAGGGGGCCCATGGAAGAGTCCCCGGATCCTCCAAAGGGCGAAGGCCCGTTCCTGCCGCTTCCCAGTCCAGCGAAGTGAGGCAGGTCGTCTACGGACTCGGTGAAGGCCTGCTTGAAAACGTCCCCGCCGCCGTACGGGTAGTATACGTCCACAACGTCGGGTCCATCGCTGGAGGACGAGGAGAAATCGGAGCCCGCCGAGCCGAGGCTGTCGCGACGTTCCCGGAGTTCGCGCTCGGTGGGCGAGTTGGAGCTCTCTCGCGCGAAGCCCTCGACGATCTTGACGAGCCCCAGGTAGTCGTGGAAAACGTTGAACTCGCCCATCATCTGGCCGTTTGGGTACCCGGCGCTCGCCGCTGTCCGCAGGGGGTACGTCTCGCCGTCCAGACTACTCCCGCTCCCTGTACTGCAGCTGCTGCCCACGCTCAGAGTGTTAGTCGGATGGTTCCCGCCGTCTCCGGGAGCAGTCAGCGACTGTGGCGGGGTGATCTGTAGTGCCTTGAGCATTATGCAGATTCGGGGATCGCTCGTGGGGTCTTTCCTAGGTGCCGTACCGCCTCAAGAGTTGCGTTGCACGTCGCTCGAGTAATGAGAGAGCTGGAGAGGTCCGAGGCTAGCTGACTGCAGCAGGCACACACACGAGGCGAGCTAAGAAGTGGGTGTACTCACTCGGCTAAAATAGCAGCTGTGTTGAAGATATTCATGGCCGTCTGCGAATGGGCGTAAACTGGGTTGCCATGGCGCTTGGCGGTACAATCAGTATTCTCTCCGTAAACTATACTCGTCCGCGGCACACGTGTAGTGAAGGTTTCCAGTCTTCGTGTAAACAAACAAGATACAACTAATGCTGGGCATGAAAACATGGCACAAGTACTTATTAGAATCCGTGCCACTGTTTGCAAATAGAGTAAGAGGGCTAAAAGTTGTGTAAGTGCTGCACATTATAACCCCAAGTGGGACGATTGCTAGTGTTGGTCCACTTTGCTGAGAGATGTACTAGAAAACACAAGTGCTTTTGGCGGTTCGTAAGTACCCTTGGAAGACAGTTCTTCTTTGATCTGTAGCATGCGTGAGAGGAGACATGTGCTGGTCACTCCACACGGTGCACCGAGTCTTAGCAATGAACACTGCATTGCTACAGCCTGTGATATGTGCGTGTGTGTGCATGGTGCATAAGCAAGTGAGGGGGAATTAAATCCATTTTTAAGTGGGTGATTGCATAATGTGGAAGAATGTATAGAGAGTGTAGGTGTGTACTTGAGAACAGAATTGGCCGAGAACAGGGTAGTGTCTGCTAATAGTGCCACTTGGCCTTTCACTCCATTAAAACCATGGGAACAAATGAGCAAAGATGGAGGGACAGAGCCAGTGGTTATGGCACGCAACCTCCGTGGAAGCGTCTGTGAGTACATGTATGTGCAAAGGTGGGGCAAAGAGTGTATCAACACAAAGACATAACCACCGTTGACACTGACAAGAAGCTTCAAAGATGCTCTGGATTGTGTACCCCTAACAACATCCAACAAAAGACCTACATACTTACAGCTTCAAACGCCGGATACTGTGTGTATTAACAAACAGACTCACCACATCCACCAGTAGAGGATTAGCAGTGAGAGTGTGAGGGACATTCAGCATCGTGTAGCTCGCAATGCCTGCACAGACAGAGAAGACGCAGTGCATCATTCTCAGATTCAAATATCACGCCAGAGGGTGAAAAATCATTGCCGCTGCGTACGTGTTGATATGAGAATGCTAGCTTTCCGTTGAAATGCCAGCATAATCATTGCATTCCTAGATGCAGTGGTACCCATAAAAGTGCTAGTCTGTCCAACGATAAATTCCAGTCCGTTTACGCAGAAAGTGGATTCATCCCAACTCCAGCTTTATGTTTACCCTTCGGACCAAACCCTCCCCCATTCACGACTCTAAGGTCATGCGTGCCATGACTGGGAAAAACAGCCCCACCCTCCCATACCACACACAGACAGATGCACCGTCCGCGGTAGCTGGGAATTAAGACATGCACCGTACAAGTTTCAAAAACACTACATCCTCCTACACCCAACAATAGTGTCGCCCACCCGAATGCGTGTTTTCACAGGACTCTATTATACACCACCAGACACACCAGTGACAGGGAGAAGCAAATGCTTCATTCGCAACGTGTCTCGCTACAGGACCAGCAAACCAAGACACCGCCTCATAAACGAATCCATAAAAGCTGACAAACACGCAGTCGGCATCTGTGCCTGTCGTCACACTCGTGGGCCATTCTCACTGCCACACTAGTGCTCTCTCCGTGCTGATATATAAGGCACTGTCACACACCGTTAATGTAAACCGTCTGCTAGAGTAGCATTATGTGCGGTCAAGCCGTTGGTACACACTACATACGTATGAACCTGAAAGTGCACGGTATCTTGAGAAAGTGGCTGAGAGAGTTGTCTCAAGAGTGAACGAAGCACAAGAGAGGAGTTCCAGCCCTTCTGTCACCTCGGGTGTCCCCTCACCGACCCCTGACATTGACTCCTGTTTCTCCACCTCCGGTGATGGGCCCTGGTGGTCACTGGGTGGAACAGGTAGTAGACCACTGGCTAGAGCTTTGTCAGCCACCACGAGGCATTTACTTCCCAGTGCCTCTTGCAGTTTCCTCCAGCCTTCCACGTCCTGTAAAAATATACGCAACACGTGAACATTCTATCACTAATGAATAGGGACTCCCCCAATTACAAATCTAACAACTGAATGTTTCGAAATGGGGAGAAATACCAATCTAATGTCTGTTACGCCACACAGCACACTCAGCTCACTGGCTCTGCCATTTCCAACACACACACACACCTCCTTTGTCCATATATAGTAGTACCACCGCCAGCTACACGCAGGCCAATAGGAGAGGGCCTATATTCACATTACAACTGACGATGGAACAAGCGAATGCGTGTCCTCTGGGCAAGGAGGTTCAATGCAGGTACTTTGTTTCACAGTATGTTTGAAACATCACCATCAAATGCATTCCACCTCATGCAGTATAAAGTTAATCCTGTAAGAATGGCCGTATATCTATGAGTGTGTGTATACCTCGTGGTGTAGGGGATCAATATAGCCCATGAGCCCGGGCTGAGATGTAAGGAGCTCCGTGTACATAGATATGAGGTCGTCAGTTGACTTCCACTGCCCGGTGATCAGTTCATACTTGTGCTTCTCCTGCAGTCGTGTGTGTGGAAGGGAGGGGGGGAATAAAATTAATAATACGGGTGGCTGTTTGCTGTTTACGTTAGAGTTGGATCGATGCTGCAACGGTGCACACTCGCCTTGCAGGCACCCTGCCAACAGACATTGTGTGTGTGCCTATGTACACACACTAACACATGCCGAGGCGATCGTGTAAAACTCTTGTCCTATTTAACATCAATATTAGATCCATTATTACAGTGATAGCACACATACCGCCCTCCCTACCAACAACTTTAGACCAAGCCAGCAGACACTGGCACATAAGGTACAATAGTGTGCCTTAATATTAGCAGACAGTTATGGTTAAGGTAGCTGGCTCCGGTCTGCTTCAACTGGTAGTAAGAAGTACACCTTCTACAATTGCCACACATAAGAAGCCGAGACGCTAATCAGATTGTACAGGTAGTGAGAGTGAACCAACACCATGTGCACTCTCACACAAGCATGCTCACACACAGCACACATGCATTATTTATGGAGAGAACTTTGCACGGACCTTTGTGCAGGCTGCAATGCTTGACCTATACACCACAGCACCACAGTTGCACACTCTCTGTAATCTTTCACTTTTTCCCACGCTCAAAGACACAACATCCAGATGACATTTGAGGAGAGCTACAAGTTCAATATGTTGCTGAGTGGCCTGGACACAGTACGTAGCAATATTGCCGTAATGCAGAAAGAGATGTGCAGTCGGTAGGAGTGGGAGAGAGGCACAGTGTTCCCTTACACAGGATTAATGGCCAGGGACAAGGAGAAGACAGGAGGAGCTGGCTCAGACAGACACTGGCAGATGTGACTAGGCCGTGGATGGAGTTGATTGGTGAATGCAGGGACACTCTCGACACAATGACGAACATTCCAATTGTTGCAGTGTTACACTTGCAGACGGGCCATCCGTTTGATATTGAGCATCGTGGGAACAAAAGGAAAAGCGGTAGCGAGTGTTTCTGTATGCTGTATACTAATGTCTCATGTGCGTGTGTGTGTGTGTGTGTGGGAGGTGGAGGAGAAGCAGAAATTGCCACCGCAGGTACTCCAATGACACATAGTTGAGTGTCCGGTATACTCCTACCCCTACACGTGGTGGACTTTCAGTACAGCAATGGGAATGCACACAGTTTGAGCTTCATTACTCCCCCTCAAACCTATCCTCTCTCCTAGAGTTGCCCCACGGCCACAGCCTATGCCCACAGAATACGGAGGCTCTTGGGTGTAATTGACCTAGAATGGGTCCACTTTTGGATCAAAGGAAATGAGGGTTGAGAGGCAATGTAGAGTCAAGTGGTGCTTAAGTTCCACAAGTTGTGTCCCCCCAGGTGTGGTGAGTGGAGAGCTAAGAGTGTTTACCCACACACGTGTGTGCAGTTGGAATGGCGGGGCAAACAGTGTAAGTGTTCATTGGTAGGTGAGACACAAATTGGCAAATGCTCTCAGAGTGTTTCCCCCGTGGTGCTCACTTCCAACAGGAGTCCAATCTGCATATTAAACAACACCGCACATTATGCGGCGGTGGTGTCATGCAGACTCTCATTCAACTTCTGTCAAATGAATACTAACCGACACTCTCTACCCGCACACACACGTTCTCCCCTCACAAATTGGGGCAAACAGACGAACACGGCACACACCTGGTCAAAGAGCCTGTCAGCTCCAATGTCGACCACGACAGATAAGTCCTGACCGAGGATCAGGCCACACTCGGTACCTGCCTCTCTCACCAGCTCCAGTCCAGCCTCCATCTTCTCCAGGGGAGGGCAGTAGGCCCTACGAGGTCCCACTGGGGCCACTCCTCCCACCTGCAGTGGATACATACGTACGTACACAGTGGAAAATGACCCTCTGAATAAAAAACATTAATTTCTTCGTAAAGGACACTTGCTCGTAAATTAAATTACCTCCAAAAAAGGGACGCCTCTGAATAAAAGACACTTTCAATGTCCCAAAAAGTGTTCCTTATTCAGAGGTTCCACTGTATATGGCGAGGACTACACTAAATGCATACAACCAACCAATCAGGTGAACAAAGTATAGCAGCTGTATGCAAAACATGGTGTGAATACATGTCAGGTCGGCTGGCTAGGGGCGCACACGTACAATAGATTTTTATCTCTGAAAATCACATGCCGTATGTAGACTAGACATGTAGCCACGTACGTGTACGTAAGACTTGGTAAAGGTGCCGCACATATTACATGGCACACAAGTACGTACAAGGTGGTAAGTTGTAGACTTTTAGGCTACTTTTCTTGTACGAAACGTAGAGTACAGAGGGAACAGTTGGTAGGGAAAGGTGTTGGTTCAAAACAGAGGGTACATGTGCCGTGCACAGGTCTCAGTAGTCTGGGTGAGATAATGTATGTATGTAACGAAGTTAATGAGATCACGGTACACAAAGTAACCTCAGTCCATGAATGACAGCCTTTCCCAAACAACACACCAAAACACACTCCGCGTCCACTTGCCTGAATAGGCCAAACGCCGTCTGGCTTTACAGGCAAACAACTTATTCTTGGTATTTTTGAGACAAATGAATAACACGGTCCTGCCATTCAGTTGCAGAGTGCCCTGAGGCATCGGCATACACATGCAAACGTAACACACCAATTAATTATTGCGAAATGGCAGAAAACGTAACTGAAACACTAGACGGTGGTAGAATCCACCCGCTGAGGGGAAATTCTGTAAACATCACAGCAACTTAACATGTGCAGTAGGGAGTCGGAAAGATTTGTGGCCGTGAAAAGTGAAATGAGGATGTGAGTGTGTTGGGGGTGGAAGTAGATGGATGAACACACACATGGGAATGGGGTGGAATATCAATGGCTCACTACCACCACAAACTTAGGCTTATCACCATGTTGTGACTCCATTCCATGGGAATGCGTAACGGGCCTTAGACCACAGAGCTTCTTCACCTCTCTTCCTCCCCTTCACCTCTCCTTCCCCTCATCCGCCCCTTCACACCATTAGTCTCTCCCTCGCTTTCTCCTACCCCTTCATAAACTTTTCCCGCCCCTCTCCCATCTCTTTCCCTTTCTCCCTTCCTATTCCTCGCCCGCCTCTCAGACCCCTAACTCCCCCAGTCTCACCCCAGTTTTAGCAGACAGTAGCGTCCCCACTGAGCGGTACACTGAGCACAGGGCCAAAATCTGCTCTGATAAAGTCCTATGAAAATGATAATGCATTATGTGTACTGCATATGTAGAGACCACAAGGTTTGTGACAAAATTTTGTGAAGTTGCACAATTTCTGTGACAATTTAGACGGTCTAAGATTTTTTTGGCTCCAAAACATAATTATGTGCGTGTAAGGATGGATGATGTATTGTACCTGCCAGGGAGGGGGAGAATGCAGAACTCTCTCACTCTCAGTTTCCCAGCCCCGCCAGCCAGGAGAGATGTGAGGGGAGTGGGCAGGGAGACGGAGGAGACGGAGGAGGAGGAGGAGGAGGAGGAGAGAGCTGGGGTGAGGTGGTTGTAGAGAGGTAGACCAGAGAGTATAGCTGCAGACTTGGCCACAGTCAGAGAGGTGGCTAACAGAGCTGACTGGTGCAGTTCCCTCCCCTCTGGTGGACACAGAGAAGAGATAGAGTGGGATAAGAGACTCTCTGATGAATACAGTACCAATTGCTGGGAGAAACCTAGATCTTGTGGGTCAAAGGTAAGATTCCCTGAGGTACCGTATTATGTAGAACACCAGGGGGCATGTACTGCTCTTAATCAAATTCATTGACAGATTATGCGAGCGTGAGGTTGAATAGATGGGAGGGTGGCCGTAAGAACAGCTGACTGTCCATTCAAACCACTCTTGTCACATGCTGACAATAGCGACACAACCAGATTGGGTGGGTGCAGAGGCAACCCACCGCACACAGCCCGACGTGTGCCTTGAATCACTGGCCGCCAAAAAAGCAAACAGACAGAGGTGCGAACACACTGACACGCATTTTAACCGGGAACACAATCGGACAAAGTCAACATTAGTCTATAGGATTAAGTTTCGCCAAGTTTATCCTTCAACTGAACAAGGTAGAGTGGTTACAATGTTATCACACTCTGAGTGTCCCTCCTCGTGGATCCCCCACTGACTGAGCATTCACTCCATCACACACTCCATCTCGGACCAGTGCAAACACCACAGAGCCACGATGAGGGTGGACCAGCCATGCCAATGTGCACATGGCTAGGCAATGAACACGCACGCTGTATACACTGGTATGCAGATAGCAGTCAGGGCTACTATACTAATGTCATGGTAGGTGAGCTAGTAGGCAGTAGGGGCACAGGGGCCATATGCAAAGTATACACAAGCACCACATACATACATGCACACGGCCAACCTTTGTCCCTGAGACTGGAGATAGTGCTGTCAATGTCTGACTGCTGGTTAGGTGGGCGAGACACCAGAACAGGGGCTGGGGTGGTATACACGTGCACAGTTTGAAGTACAAAAGAGACTCATTGATTGTGTAATGCCTCGAGCTCACCAATGTAGGTATTGAAGCTCTCAAAGGCAAAAATGACATCATCTTTTTCTTTATTGTTTGTTTCACTGCCTTCCCCCTCTACTGGCTTGACTGGCTCCGCGGTTTTCTTTTTGGCTCCAGGTTTGTTGGAGGGAGAGGATGGGAGGGGAGGGGAGGGAGGAGGGGGAGGAGAGGGGTTCACAGGGACACTCACAGAGGTCACAAACTGCAGGGAGAAGTGGGGGTAGGAGTGGTAAAGTGTGGCCTGTTGGGTTGATCACACTAGTACTCACTTTGTCTATACCGTGTATGGTGCAGTGTATGCTGACGTTGAGAGCTGGACTTCCTCTCTCGTCCACGCTCTCAGTACACTCTCCTCTGCTAATGACAGGGGCCACCGCCAGATCACCGAGGTAGTCTGACTGTAGTAGCAGAACAACTCTAGCATCCTTGATATTTGGATGCACTAGTAAAGTAAACAGATGGTGTTCCAAACGCTTGATTGAACACATCAGCTGTGTTGTTACAGCTCATGCAGCATGACTCAACTAGTGCCTGTTCCTCCCCTTCCTCGGGATTTTACCAGTTATGTAGTTAGCTAACTAGCTCTCTCTGATCAGACACGTGGGCGGGGGCTCACCATGTATCCGTACACGTCTCTTGGAGACGCAACAAACATCTCGTTGAGCAGCTTCTCCACGGTGCTGGTGACGTTGCGCTGGGCGTAAAATTCCATGGCCCTCTCGCTCAGCTCCCTGCGCCGCTGCTGCTGCAGCTCGGCTTTCTTTCTCGAAACAGCCATGTTTTATTCTCACGTGATGCAAGTGTTGCTATGGCTACCAAACACGGGTGTGTGCACGAAGGAAGGACTTGACTCGTCTAACATTCTCGCTAGCGAGAGAGTGAGACAGGGAGAATGGCGCACGAGGAGAAGGAAGGGGGTGGTAGTGGGGAGGACAGCACATTCGAGGCTCTGGAGAGGGATTTCCAGGAGGTGACACTTTGCATAGACGATTCAGGCTTTTTGTGCAGAGGCTTTTGCCTCGTTCTATTGCCGTAGACTCTACTGACTATGCCATTACATACATGCAATGCATAGGTGTTGTCTGAGCTCATGGGGGACCAGAGTCTGGAAAAGTTTCGCGTCGAGTACGAGAAACTCCACCAGGCCTTGAATAAATCGCACGAGAGCGAGAATAGACTGATGCAGAAGTGCCGCGAGCTCAATGCAGAGATTGTGGCCAACTCGGCCAAGGTCACGACGGCCCTCAAGCTCTCTCAGGAAGACAAGGGAACCATCAGCTCCCTCAAGCAGGTCTGTATAGATCTAGCTATCAAATAGTGCTGCTTCTATAGTGTGTTCCTGTGTGTACTGCAGGAGATAGAGAAGCTGTGGAAGATGGTGGACGCTGCACACGAGAAAGAGTCAAAGGCCAGAGACACCATAAACCAGCTAAAGTTGGAGATTGCCAACCTCACCAAGCTGGTGGAGCAAGGAGCTGGACTCGGTGTTGGCCAGGATACCCTGTAATTCAACAATCATAATATCTGAACAGCTCTGTGTGATGATATGACATTCTCTGCAGAGTTGAAGACCTGACCAAGGAGAAAGAGGAACTCACCAAGGAAAGAGATGCTAACCTCAAACAGATAGTGCATGTGAGTTTCAGAGTCACTGCTAACTCTGACGATTTCTGACTTGTCTTCACTGCTGCATAACCATGGAAAATAGAACTTATGGAACTCTGATTTGACTATGTCTCGTATTCTTGTAGATGCGTCAGAAAGTCACAGAGGTCAACGAACGCATAAGAAAGGCCGAGACGGACAGAGAAACAGCTGAGTCAGCAGTCATGGCTGTTAGTTGCTACCCAGTGTTGGTTTCAAGTGAATGATTTTGTGCTTTCTCTCCCAGCTTCGTGACAATATCGTGGTCAAGGAGCAGGAGATTGACAAGGAGACACGGAGAAGAACCAAACTGGAAAAGGAACTAAGACAGTGCCAGGTATATAGAACTGTGTAAGTTGTACTGTACGACCCCATCAACTACGTATCCAGGCTGAATTGAAAGGCAAATGTGAGGAAGTGGAGGCTAAACAAAACCAACTCCAACGATCAGAAGAAGAGATAAAGAAATACGAGCAACAGCTTAGAGAAGCAAAGGTGCACATTAAACTATACTTCCACTAACTAACTCCAATGTACATGTGTAATAGACGAAGCATGACCGAACGCTGGCAGACAACAGTCTCCAGGAGCAGAGGATCGAGCAACTGGTGGCCAAGAACAAAGACCAGCTGGACCTGAGTGTGGAGCTGGCCGAGAGGAGCAGTCAGATGGAGAAGGAGTTGACGAGGAGAGAAGACGAGGTCGCCCGACTCAAACAGGAGGTGGTCCGGGGGAACAAGTTGAAGGACAAACTCAACACTAAGCTCCGGGCGGCCGAGGAGATGAAGGCAGAGCTGGAGAGCAAGAGAGAGGGCCTCAAGCAGCAGATTGGGTCCCTTGAAAGAGGTAAGCACTCTAGTACTGCAGTGGAACAAATCAGTGACACTTGTGCACGAATTTTCCAGAGGTGGAGAGTCAACGGAGACAGGCAGAGCTGGATAAGAGAGCATTTGAGGATATACTGAAAGAGAGAGATGCACTCAACAAGGTTGGCTTTATCCTTCACCTCTCGCTTCACCGACATCACTCAAACAAGAATCCCGTGTGCTTCAGGTCCTGAAAAGGTCGGAGGGTAACAACGAGAAGATTCAGCACACACTGAAGATCAGCGAGCAGAAGATGCAGGGGCTGAAGATGCAGGTGCAGGGTCTCCAGGAGGAGGTGAGGAAACAGCACCAGCAGCTCCAGAGACTGGAGATTGAGAAGGAGAGCTACAACAAGGAGGCCATGAACACGAAACACCGCTGCATCGAACAGGTCGAGAACCATACTGTACAGAGTGTTACACAATTATTACGCATGTGTACTGTAGATGGAAGAGGTGAAGAGGAAAGAGATGGAACTGTACCAGCTGAAGAAGAAAACAGCAGAGTACGAGAGCAAACTCAAGCAGCAACATGTATGCGATGCATTAAGTCTCACCGGCATGACTTTCAGTACTCTTTCATTGTGTGTGTGTGTGTGTTCTAGGCACTGTACGAGGCGGTGTGTGCAGACAGAAACATGTGCAGCAAGAGCCTCATTGAGTCAAGAGACGAGATCACAGAGATGAAACGGAAGCTCAAGATCATGTCTCACCAAATCGACCAGCTGAAGGAAGAGATAGCTGCCAAAGTATGCATTACTGATACCTTCACGGTCACTACCAACACACTGCTGTAGGAGCGAGCACTGGTGAAGAGCAACGCGGACCTGACTCACCTGGAGCATGAGAAGGAGAGTCTGAGTGCCGAGATCTCGAGTCGGCGACAGGAACTGGACCAGAGCAAGAAGCTGCTGGACCACCAGAGAGCAGAGGAGGCTAAACTGAGGAGGGTCATCACTGAGGCCAGTGCCGAGAGAGCCAGGCAGAAGAAAGAACTTGAACAAGTATGTAACCCTCTCTCAACCAAACAGCTATTGAGCTTTCTTCTAACTACCATACCTTCATGTATCCCATATAATCCTATATTATATGAGACAAAAGAAAGTGTCAGTATTAATGAGGTGTCCTTATTTCATGGGAAAGAAAAACGTGTCCTTGTGTCCTAATCACAGGGGTGTCCTTAGAGAGGGGGTTCCACTGTTTTGCAGAGATACATCCACCCAGGTCATCAACGAGCGTGATATCCTGGGGACTCAAGTGATTCGTCGCAACGACGAGCTGGCCCTGCTGTACGAAAAGATCAAGATCCAGCAGTCGACTCTCAACATTGGGGAGGTCCAGTATTCCCAGAGACAGGAGGACATCCGCATCCTCAAACTGGAGGTGAGAAGGATGAGGAGAGAGAGAGCCTCGCTCTCAAAGAGCGTCTCCAACATGGACGACCTCAGGTGAGGAACATCCCTAGAACGTGTAGTAAACTTAGATTGTACAATACTTTCTCTGTGAGTGGGAATCTGTTTTTCTCCCTCAAAAGTTACCTACCAACAGACTTTCGCTTTAGAGTTGAAGTTTATGTGTGTGTTAGTGGTGGATTATTTTCCCTGTCTGTGCAGGCGAGAGTTGTACCACGTCCAGCGAGAGCTCCTGAGGGAGAGGACTCGCTGCAAGGCACTGGAAGAGGAGCTTGAGAACCCAATGAACATCCACCGCTGGAGAAAGCTGGAGGTGAGCCAAGAGACAGGTATAATGGCCTAGAGTGAGACATTGTGTGTTAAAATACCAGGGAAGTGATCCCAGCACCTATGAGATGGTCCAGAAGATACACACACTACAGAGGAAACTCATCCAGAAAACCGAAGAGGTACTGTATGTCACACACTGAGCAAAGGTTGGGCATTTGAGTGAGGTTGGACTGTGTGTCTCTGTGACTAGGTGGTGGAGAAGGAGCTTTTGACTCAAGAGAAGGAGAAGCTGTACATGGAACTGAAGGCCATCCTCCAGAGACAACCCGGGCCAGAGGTGGCCGAACAGCTCCAGATATACCAGCAGACCCTCAAAGAGAAGACCAAGCAGATGAAGGTGGGCAATGACATCACTTTCAAAAACGAAATGCTCCATTTCTCTCTTGTGTTATACAGAGCATGGCATCAGAGTTGAACATGTACGAGTCACAAGTTTCCGAGTATCGCATGGACATTGACAGACTCCAGAGGGAGATGCAAGAGATCAAGAAAAAGTACTTCCTGCAAAAGAAAAAGGAGCAGTCGCGGATGTATGTCTAGCTAGCTAGTGCACAAGCATTCTTTTCATCACAGGACATCATGTTCTCACTTTTACATTGCAGGAGGGATCAGCCACTGGTTCTGCCTGACATTTCACCCAAAAGGGCGGAGCTCCCTTCTTTCAAGGGAGGAGGATTCAACTTCAAACAGACTCAGAAGGCTGTGGCATAGGGGAAAATCGCATAATTATAATCCGTGTCATTCCGCACATCCTCATTAAACTCAATTATTATTGTGATGGAAAAATAGTACATTCGATTGTGATAATATCTATGATAGTAATGCACGAAGTGAGGTCACAGTAGGGAGAGCGAGCACGAATGAGAAAGCTGAAGCACAAAATTGTGCGCAACGGGCAACGCTGTGCACATGTGGAAGGTGTGAATTTGCGCGGGTTTATGCACAACAATGAGACTAGAACCCAATACAAAATTCTTCTAATTCTAGTCATGGTGAGAGCGGAGGACTGAATGGTCCATCGCTGGGGTCCTCCCGAAGTGGCATGTAATCACTGTTGGAGAGGAGTACAGCGGCAGCTCCGAACCGAGGGAAGGGGAGGCTGGTGACCGGGACCCACTTGAGCCTACTGGGGTCATAGCACTCCACCGAGTCCAGGTACTCCAAGCCGTTGGATCCACCTGCAACATGTGTGTGTGTGTCAGTGGGCCATTGAAAAACACAGAGCTATAAATGTGCCCCTGAGATGAGCAATGTAAACCCCCATAAAAACATCTACATGTTGACAGCTTGAGAAGCTAAGAGCTAAGGTTATAGACACATGGAAATATCCTTGGCTAGTGTTGAAAAGAACAAAGTGACTTTACCTATGACGTAAATCATGTTTCCCATGGAGACAGTACAGAGGCCGACTCGTGGGGTGGACATGCGAGCAGTGATGGGTTCCCACTGGTCCAGCTGAGGGTTGTAGATCTCTGCCATGTTGATCACCTCCTTCTCCGTCTGTCCGCCGGACACAAATATCTCCTGACCAAGCATAGCTGCACCTGCACGAGTGGCGCATGTAAAAACACACGAAAGCTTTGAAAAAACAAACTTTGTGGACGTTGCATGTTTCCTACTGTATATACTCCTCATTACCCATCTACATAGTTTTATACTGGTGACTAACTACGTAACTATCACTGGAACGAATGCCCTGTATACCTGCAATACAAGGTAGCCAGATGCCATAGATGCTTGAAATACTTAAACAAACCACCGTGACAAAGAACAGTAGTCATATTATGGGGGTGTGACTAACCTGCGTTGGCTCTTGCAGCACACATGTCGGCAACACTCTCCCACTTGCGGTTGACAAAGTCGAACCTCTCCACAGAGCGGTGGAGTCCCACAGTGTTCTGCCCACCAATGGCGTAGATCCTCTGATCGAAGAAGACGCCAGTCAACTCGCTGCGGGAGTGTATCATGGGCTGTTGGTACTGCCACTCGTCCAGCTCCGCGTTGTAAAACTCCACCGATTTCAGAAAGACGCTCCCACTGAAACCGCCCATGACAAAGATCCCGGAGCCAGTGACGAGAGCCGTGCAGCTGCGTCGGGGAGAGTTCAGACTCGCCACGTACCTCCAGGAGTTGGTGAGGGGAGAGTATTTCTCCACAGTCGACATCGGCTCCATGTGCTCCACGCCGCCAATCGCATAGAGCTCGCCTTTAAACAGTACCAGAGAGAGCCGGTTACGACGTAGCTGCATCTTTGTCCCCGCGTTCCACGCCTTGGAGTGTGCGTTGTAGTAAGAGACGTCGCTCAGGGACAGCCCCGAGTCCCCCGTTCCCCCTGCAACACAGAGCACCCCGGCCAGAGAGCTCCGTGGCTGGATCTTCTTTGGGTCGAGGTACATGGCGGAGGCCGGGTTTTGGTGATAGTCGTGTGCGTCTTGGAGCATGATCTTTCCTGTAGGGAGAGCCGCGAGGAGCTCGTTGTTTCCCGCCACTCTTGTCAGGAAACCGTCTGCTAGGATGGGAAATCGGACGTGCCGGTAGAGTTGCTCGGCGTGCCCTCTCCGCGAATCGAGGTCGTGCCTGATCCACCGAGTGACTGCCTCGTAGACGTCTTCTTCGGCTGTGATAGTGATATCGTTGCTGGAGACCAGCTCCTCCACCCTCTCCACGGAGAGGGAGAGAAACTCCTCCTTGGCGGAGATACTGGAAAAGTGCTTGAAGCTGTACGTCTCCGCTGTGGACGAGAGCGCCTCCAGGTTGTGGAGGCGAGCAAACTCCGCGATGCCCAGACAGTTGGCGGTGCCCAGGCGTTTTGCTATGAAGCGCTCGCAGGCCGAGACGATCTCGGGGAGACCCAGAAGGCTGGCTGTCACCAGAATACCCTGCGCGCTTGTCTCCGTGATCTCGAGTCGGCCCGTGTAAACGAACCCCAGGATCCTTTTCAGCCCCTCGCCGTCCACGTTCATGAGCGTGATGTCGCGCTGTCCCGACTCCTGCATCTTGGAGGTGAGCATGGCTCTAAAGTAGGGGACGTTGGCGGCCAGCACCACCCTGTGCGCGGAGAGCGAGAGCACGGGCTTCCCGCTCGAGTCCTCGGCGAGCAGGTTGACGTCGCACAGCTCTCGCTGCCGCCAGAGCTCGTCCATTTGCCGACAGCTGTTCGCGTGGTGGTCCTCTACGTTGTAAACGTAGGTGTCTGCCATCCCTTCTTTCTTTCTTTTCCTTTGTAGCCTCCACCTCGGGGGCTCCTCCCGTGCTCTCGTTTACTCCAACCTTCCCGTACTCCAATTCAGTAAACCACACCCACTCGCTTAGACCTTTGACCCCGGAAAAGACCTCGTCTCACGATCAGACATGAAAACTCTTGAGGACCTGTGCCTGGCGTTCATAGCCAGGCATTTCTCCACCTACCAGCGGCTGGGGAACAGCCTGAGCTCCCACCACAAGGAGATGCTCCTGGAGCGCATGTGCATCCACGGACAGCTGACCAAGTCCAGCCTCCCGTGCGTCTCGTACGCTCTCTTCTCGCACACGCTCCAGAGGATCAGCCTCTGCTTCTCTTCCCAGTTGGACGACAGGTGTCTGGAGCTGTTGGGAGCCAGCGGTGTGCTCCCCACGTCCGTGACCATCCAGAAATGTCCCAACATCACGGGTAAATTATCCTACTTCCTGCTCTTACAACAGCAAAGGAAGTGTTTTTAATATTACTCGCAGACAAGGGGATAGCATCGCTGGCCAGAATAGTAAGAAAGACAGAGGAACTATTGCTGCTAGGGATGAAACAGCTCACCGGAGAGGGACTCAAGAATTTGATGTCTCGCAGTCTCCGACAGCTCAGTCTCCAGGGGAGCACCGGCATCACTGACCCCGGACTCTCTGCCCTCCTCAGGAACTGCCCCAACGTCGAGAAACTGTGCCTGGCTGAGCTCGACAAATTGACCGACGCCACCTTTGTCTGCCTGGCAGAGGTCCTCGGGGACAAACTTGTGAGTTGGATTCTCTGTAATTGGATTCAGTCTCGTTGTACGTACCATTCAACTTCCATTTCCAAAGTAATTTCATTTATGTTCATTTGTGCCCAGACTTTATAGCTGTGGTACACTAGTACGATTTTGCCTGGAAGAAAGAACTTGCTATACGTTAGTCCTTGTTGCACATATTGTAATAGGTGGAGCTGGATGCCCTTCAAGTGAACTCGGTGACCTCTGCAGGCACCACTGCACTGGCGACACACTGCTCCAACCTCAGAGTGTAAGACCTTATGTATGTACGTACTATAGCAGGCTGTTCACTATGTGCACACCCCCTCTCTCTTTTCGTTAGAGTGAACTTTGAAATGGACACCTGCCTAGATGGGTCCGGTCTAGTCAGAGTGAGTCACACACGCAGACCCACTGATGAGTTTAGCCCCCGCACTAATTGCACTGTGTGTTTTCAACAAACCAGTGGCACTCCTCAGTAATTAGTAAGTAGTCAAAAGACGGTTAAAACTCCCCCATATAATCAAGGCACTCCATAAATACCTAAACTTACCAGAGTATTGGGATTATCCCCACACAGATGGCTGAAAACTAAAACATATGTAACTTATACTTACCACCCGAGTATTGGCTGGAAACTTCCTCGTATCATTTGTGAATAACTTTACTAAACTTACCACCGTTCTTCTGTATTGGATTATCCCCACACACAGATGGCTGAAAACTGCCCCATAGCATCTCTCAACATATCATTCTGCTACAAGGTCCCGGCACACGAGGTGGAGGTCATGGTGAGCATGTTAAGAGCGAAAGGGACTCTCCAGAGCTTCGAGGCCATGGGTCACGTCTTGTCTCCCATTGGGCTGGAGCTCCTTGCCTCCAGTCTAGCTCTCAGCAAACTCTCTCTCTGTGGAGTGGCTCTCGTCAATGATGACTCTGTCGATCTGGTACGATATGACACACTGGAACCTTCGAGGGAGAAAGCTTTAAAAACTTTGCTCAAAAACTATAGTAGGGTAGTGTCTGATCTCAGAATTTTAAAGGAGGAAGTTCACTTCAAGTCCATAGGTTAGAAGGTATTCACATGACTAGAAATGACATTTTTGAAGTGTTAAGTCATTCAGTATTCGGAACAAGATCCCATTACGGTCCTAACCTAAGTTAAACTTCAAGTGTATGTCAATTGCTGGTTTTCTCTCTCTCTCTTCTCTCCCACAGATGGCCAGAAGTATGGCAAAGACCCTAGTGAATCTCGATGTCTCAAACTGTGCTGTCACAGACGACTCATGTGCCTCCATAGCTAGGCACTGTCAGGCCATTGAGGCCCTGGGACTGAGGAATGTGAGGGAAATCACTGGAGCCCCTCTCGTTGGGCTCTTTAACGACGGAGAGAGGAACAAGAGCATCACGGCAGTCACTTTCTCTGGGTCGAAGAAGGTGTGTAATATCTCTAGAAGGCTCAGTAGTTCAGCATTATAGCAGCAAGAGAAATCTTCAACGATGCCCTCCACGTTGTATGAAATAATATAGTAAGAAAACAACTACATGAACTGTTTCTCAGTTACTAGTTCAAAAGAGTGTGTGTGTCTGTTAGATCCAGCCAGATGTGGTGGAGGCACTAGTGTCAAACTGCCCCAGTCTGGAGGTGGTGACGATGGCTGGACTCAAAGGCATCACTGACACTGTGGCCCTGACTCTCGCCCACTCCTGCCCAGACATCCAACACGTCAGCTTCAGAAACTGCGACGTGACGGACGTGGGGATCTGCGAGATGGCGTCCGGGTGTCCTCTCCTCACTCTGCTGGCTGTGGCCGGCGTCCACTGTCTCACCGACAAGAGCATCATGGCTCTGGCGGAGCACTGCCCCCATCTCGAGGAACTCTATATCTCTGGCTGCGACAAGATCACCAAACAGGCCGTCACCTACCTCAAGGTGGGCGGTGGTAGTGGTAGTGAGGGAAGGAGTGTTTTTTTGGGCTTGCACTTGGAAACCGTCACGTGTGTTTGTACAACGTGTGTGTTCAAAGCCCCAAAGTGGTATCGTCCGGATATGGGAACTTTCCCTGTTTTACTACGCCATTATTTCAGGGATACATATTTACTAAATATGTGCACAAACTGCATACGTACATGAGATAAGTCGTGACCATACCTGCAACATTTCTCATAGTAGCTGTGTCCGGTGGGAATATTGTATTACTCTTGTAGCCGAAAATGGTCTGCTCGATTAACGAGCTGTCCAGCTATCATATTACACTGTGTTACTATGAACTTTGTATTAAATGCAGGACTGTGTGGTGAGCGGCGTGCAGGTGTTCCATACTAACCCCAGTGCACCCATTGGCCTTCTGATGGCAAAGGACTTGGATACTGGAGAGTACACCAGAGTCGACAATCTACATTTTGACTCTGTCGAACGACTCTCGGGAGCTAGAAAGACCAGAGAACATGTCAAAAGGAAGAAATAGAACTAGGGTCTATCACAGTTTTTAAAACCTGTTCTGTATAATCACAAATCAGAGTTTTGGTTTATTGGCTACCAATGTATGCGCAACGTAACGTCAACCGCAAACATTCCGAGCTACGTAATTGGCTTGCGTTCATATAAAAGTGTCGGAAACTTGCAACGTGCAAAGTTTTGATAAACCAGCCGATCGTCTCCTGGTGAGTGCTTGCTGTACTCGTTTACCCAAGGGAATGTCGCGAGTATTTGTGCTGCTGTGGCTAGCAGCCTTGCTAGCCGTGACGGTCGCGAACAGAAGACCGTTCCGCAGTGCCACGGCACCGGCAGGTAAGAGTGGGGATAGTTCCTCTTGCTAGAGGCGAAGTCTGTGTATCAGCCAGCGGTTCCTCCTTGCAGAGACGGTGGAGAGGTACAGTGTAGTGTTGCCACAAGTCGTCGAGAAGGACCCAGGAGAGGAAGTGAGCCCCCAAAACTAGCTATTGCATGCTGCGAGATCAGAGCTGCCGGGATACTGATTGCGCGAATTCTGTTATCCACAGTTCTTTCCGAAGTCCCTGACGGTGGTGTTAGCCACGCAAGAGTGCAACTTTACTCTGAAGTTGGAGCTAAATGGGTAAGTATTGGCACCTAGCAATGATGATCTTTGCGGCATTCCACTTGTCAGTCCAGGCAAGGGTTTATGGAGCTCTTTTTCCCACTGTGCAGGGTTCTCATGTCACGAAAGTTCAAGTCCCACTACTTTGATAAAAATGGCAAAGAAGTCATTGACAAGGTGAGACGATTGATTGATCGTAGCTTTGTTTCCAGTGTAACGAGGCTAGATCTATCAGTGACCTAGACAAAGGGAGGGGCTGGTGTATTCCAACCACAAGCCCAAGTGCGACAATTATACTGAGCTGATAAACAGCACATGGTATATACTAGTAAATGGAGGGAAGTGGGGAACCATACTTACAAAACATCTCCCAAGTCTCTCATGATTTGTTTCCCAACGCTCTCCACTGTGTTGCAGGGTCTTACCAACTGCTTCTACCAGGGTGAGGTGTCAGAGAGACCAGACTGGCAGGTCGTGGTCAACCTCTGCAAGGGACTCTCGTAAGTCCGAGGCACTTACAATCTATGAAATTATACACACTAGCTATTATTATGGCCGATACGGTGTATGTCTTTCCTTCACAGTTTGTTATGACTCTTCCCTTAGTGAAGTTTGTCGCCAGTAATCATATATGTTTTGCCCCGGTATAGGGAAATTATCTCTTCCCTTTGTGCCTTTCGTTCTGGATGTTGTTTGCAGGAAAAACACCCGCGTCTGCTTTAACAGCTAATTGAGTGCTAACCGGCTGTGTGTATTTGGAAGACCTATGATCCCCGCAGTCCAAAACTAAAGCCTTATTATTATTCACGTGCTGATGGTGGTGGGTTGTGTCAGGGCCCCATCCCAAAAAGGTACACTCGCTGCCCACATTTGCATGTGTAGGTAAACTGTGCAAGGTGATATCATTCTGATCTTCACGGGATGGCCTATCAAGTGTTCTTCAAGGCCATATATGCATGGTTTCGTTGTAGGAGTGGGCAGTAGTGAATCCCATTGCTCGCTTTACCTATTATGGCTGTGCTACCAGGTGACACCTTGCATGCACCACCCTAGTGTGAGTAACCTGTGATCTCACATAGAGAGACACAGTTGTGGGGAACATGCCATGCTTCTTTAGCCTATCGCTTTACTCACCACTCACACAGAAGCCATCTTGAAGGAGAGCTGTAAAAGACCCTGTCAATATACATACAGCTAGAGCATACATTAGAAGTGTGGGAAAATACATCGTATCTAAGTTGGAGCATGGTATCTAAGTTAGTTCATGCTCCGGTCGTCGTCTATGGAAGTATGCTGACAAGCAGGAAACCTACTAGTGTAGAAGTGTATGAACCGATAGGGAACTCAAGGAAGGATACTGTTATTGTGTGAGGTTCCAAGAAATAGTGAATATGAACGCTATCTCTGAATGTGTGTCTCTCTCTGTGTTTGTGTAGGGGGACATTCGGTGTTCACGGTGCAGAAGTAAACCGTGAGGAGTTTTATCACATCGAGCCTCTTAGAGGGGAATCAGACACACCACTCCCTCCTGGGAAAAGTCTGATTGATCTGGTTAGCTTACCACAAGTACCACACTAACATCAATAGTGGTGTTAGAGCTTCAGCAATAGCCAAACGATGGTGAATTGTCAAAAATTCCATGTTGCACCCTGTTCACTGCAGCTGACCAGACCGCATGCTCTCTACCTGGACGCAGAGCTCTCGGACAACAATGGAACTTGTGGTACGTCCGTACATGTATCTGTCTAACAGAGCTTCAAAGCTGCAACGAAGCATTATCATTATAGTAGTGCGGCTATTGTTATGCATTATGTGTTGTAAAACGTTGGGCTGATTCAACAAAGCACTATGTTGTGCAAGATTACGTTTCAAACGGGACAAACACCCTCTGTGGATATTCACTATCTGAACTGAGAAAGATTGTCCTATGACTACACTTTCCACCCACTCACTGACCAACTATGGCAAGGGTAGAGTGTACGATACTATGACACATGGAGGAGGGTTCATTATACGTATATAGTACAATGTGGCTTGCGCTGATGTAACTTCCTTGATTCTATAGTAGTGCTCGCTGGACGATCTAGTTTAGGAGTCTGGTGTACAAACAATCGTTTGTACGGTGGACCAACTCCGCCATAACTACTGTGCTCCCTATCACACACACACACACATACACACATACACACACACACACATACACACACACACACACACACATACACACATACACACACACACACACACACACACACACACACCATAGGTTCTCACTCTGGTGTTCACGACCGTCATCCCACCATTGATCTCTCTGCTGAAGAACGCAGCAAACTGAGGGTATGTGTATATCGATGAGTACTCTCTGTTAATGTGTGCTTTAAGATGTGTAATGGTGTGTATTTGGGAAAATGACCACGGTCACAACAGATAAGCCGTAAGTGCTATCAAGAAACATTATGAATAAAACCACTCTTTTTTATTCATGGAAATGTATGGAAGGGGATTTTCATTATAGAGTCTTCAATGTCGTATGACCACATGTCCTATACTGATTCATGTGGAAATCCGTACATTATCTGTAACTTTCACCATGTGTGTGTGTGTGTGTGCTACATGTGTATGGTAATGGTGAACTAGGGGGTACTGCTGCTCACATGACAAATTTCTCATCATGCCCTAATACTCTAGGATAACCGACACTTCCTTGTAAGAACAACGAAGGAATTCCACTCGAGTGTCTGAGTAACCAATCTGATACCGAGCCATTCATTCACTAACATACTGCCTACTTTGTTTTCTCACATTCACCATATATGTACGATGGTCCTATTAACCCCTTTGCAGTTCACTGAACGCAAATTTGTTTCACTAATCGCTTTGGCATGAGCAGTATGAAAAAGGCCTGAGCTATGAGTGGGAGAGCACACATGCCCTTTCTTTAGTAGGGGACTATGGGAAATAGAGCACTAGTTCCCACTGACTGAACTTGACTGGACTCTATACTTATCGTGACTTCATAGCCCATTATATCTCTTTCTCACTGGGTGCAGGCAAAGAGACAGTCTGGGCAGCAGTTTCTGTTTGTGGAGCTGGTGATTGTCAACGACCAGAGCCAGGTTTGTATGTATCTAGCAAATTTAAATCTTGAAACATTAGCCGTACCTTGTCGTAATGCAACACTAACTGCATTATAAATGCTTCTGGTTCATATGTAGCTAGAGAGCATCTTTGTGTGTGTGGTACTCTCCGTCAACTATAATCCTTTTCTCTCTGTGTGCAGTTCAATGAGAATGGAAACCTGGAGGACACTGTCATTAGAACTCTCGATATTGCCAACCAAATGGACACCGTAAGCCACACAACCACCTACGCATACACTTCGTCAACTGTCCTTTTCCTCACAGAACATACTGCTTAGTGGCCTCTAGTGGGAGGAAATATTTATGTGTTGAAGGCCCTCCAATTTTTTAATCTCGGTCAAATTTTGTGGGCGGGAATCATTTTTCATTTACAAGAAACTATTTTTGTCGTTTTTTTCCCTTGAAAGTTTATAAATGACGGTTGAGATATTTTGTCCATGTTACATGGCCTCTATCCCCACCGTCTGCAGCTGTTTCGTGTGCTGAATGTGAGAATAGCGCTGGTGGACGTCATCACCTGGAACACGGGGAACCAGATATCGGTCGTCAGTAATCCAGACACCCTCCTCAACAACTTCAGGACCTACAAGCCCCAGATCGCCACCCAGCACGACGCAGCCATGCTTCTCACGTGAGAGAGGCATCATGCAGTACAACAGATCAACAGACTATACAAATAGCATGTGTGTATAATGAAATGTCTGGCCAACCCTATTCGATGTGGCGTGATCGAGTGGTCCAGGCACTAAGGTTTGGTCTAATTCCGTTGCTACCCTAGCCATTGATTTTCCAGTTGCGTATATGCATTAGCTGATAGTGACATGTCGACTATCTATTTGCTGACCCAATTGCTTCAATCAATCACTTGTAGTCATGCTCTTTGTTCAAATAATTACATACAGAGTTCTTTGGGGATGATCTCGTGTCAAACACAACTCGAAGCACAAAACACTCATTGAAATCGAAGCACAAACACTCATTGAAATGTATTTCTGTCCCCTCGCCTTCCTCTGCAGTAACGTTGACCTGGACGGTTCCACCATTGGCATAGCCTTCCTGAGCGTCACGTGTGGGTCCAGTGCTGTCGGGGTGACCCAGGACACCAGACGACCTCCGGCCTCCGTGGGCGCCACTGCCTCACACGAGCTGGGTCACATCATGAACATGGATCACGACGATGCCGGTGAGTCGCGTCCCGTCACATCATCCCACTGTCTTAGCCAGTTCCTCTCTGGAGATCCCAGAGTGCGAGTTTCAACTGTTTGTATGTATTGGGAGTAGGGATCTAAATAAAAAACACAATTAAGATATATATATATATATATAATATAATTATCTCAATCGTGAAGTTGTTTATGAGGTGCATGACATACTGATTAGTTTACTGTCTCGTCTTACACCTTTTCTCCGCGCTATGTACTACAGGCAGTTGCAACTGTCCCGACGGAACATCAATGTGCATCATGGCCGCTACCATCACCTTCAACCCCCCGAGTAGCTGGAGCCAGTGCAGCATCGACCAACTCAACTCGGGGTTCACCGGCTCTAGAAACCTGGATCGCTGTCTCTTCAACGAGCCGACCACGGTCGTGGGAGACCCAGTCTGTGGCAACGGGATCCAGGAGGACGGAGAGGCATGCGACTGTGGCTCTTCACAGGTTAGACAGCTCTCTAGATACACAGTGACAATGTCTGCCTGATGTAGTGAGGCCAGGTCACTTAGTGAATGTGAAGAGCAAGGCATGTTACGTAACCATCGGTGTGCATCCATTCAGGAGTGTACAAACCAGTGCTGCAATGCCAACACCTGTCAGCTGGCCTCCAACGCCGAGTGCTCCTCTGGGACCTGCTGCGACATCGCCGCCTGTCAGCTCCGACCGTACGGGACACAGTGTCGCGCCACCAGCGGGTCTTGCGACATCGCCGAGTACTGCTCCGGGGACGCGCAGGACTGCCCACAGGACCTCCATCGCAGAGACGCCACCACCTGTAACAGCGGAAACGACTACTGCTACGACGGGACCTGTCAGATGCACAGTGATCAGTGCCAGTTTCACTTTGGTAAGTTTGTATGTATGTCCCAGTTTCCAGCGTATTGAGAGCACTGTTTGTGTTTAGTAATAACACAACTTTCCTCGTATTTCCTCCTTTCCTACTTTTGTGTGCAGTAAATTCTTGTACATAGTACATGTAGTGCATAGAGCTCGTCTTTTCCCTCATCCCTTCCTCCTCTGCCCCCCAGCCACCACGGCTGCTGACAGTAGATGCTACTCAACACTAAACACTGATGGAACGGAGGGCGGTAATTGCGGCTACACCCAGACTGCCTACATTGCATGTACTCAGAGGTGGGTGTTACATAACTCTCAGGGTTGTTTCTGGGACAGGAACAAATCGTGAGAGGGATTAACTGCACTCTGAGTTAATTTTGTGCCCCCCTTTATTTCTTCTATAAGACCCATTAGCCCCCTCCTCCCTCTTGCCCCAACGAAAACCCTACCTACTACGTATGTATACATGTAGTGCAACAATGGATTGTCTCTGTCTCTATTCACAGCAATGCCAACTGTGGGATGCTGTTCTGTGGCCGGAGTGGAACGTATCAGAGAACCGCCGGCAACACTTTCGTCAGAATAATCACCACACAAATTACGACTACCATTTTTTGCAAGTGAGTTCCAATACCTCAAGACCAAACTAATACATGTATCCTCACAATACTGTAACGACCTCAACTTACTCAGATGCTCGACATTATAGCAATGGTTTTCGCAGTGTAAAGATTAATACTCACAACACGATACAGTATATACCATTGAGTCAGGGGCTTGATTGACTGATTGGTGGTTAACCCTTCCCTTTATCCTGTGTATATAGGGGGTTCTCTCCACTGCCAGGGACGGACATCATGAATCCGGGCCTGGTAGCCGACGGGACACGATGCGGCAATGGACTTGTAAGATTATAGCACCTTTGTATTGTGTGCCTTGTAGAAAGAATAAGTCCATGCAGTGTATAGATATTGTCCTGTGTCACAGCTAGCTCCCCTCTCCCCCTGCTGCAGGCCTGCTATTCCCAGCAGTGTATTTCAGTGAGCACTCTCCCAACACTGGCCGCCATCCCTGCCTGCCCCACCGGGAACGGACTGCCCTGCTCTGGAAATGGAGTATGTTCACCCAGACTCACGATACGTTGTTGGAGTCATAGCATAGCATACCTTTCTAGAGACAACCTCTTCTTGAAAACATTACTGCATGGGCTATTGTCAAGTAAAATACAGTGCCTTGAACGCTAACTGAACATACATTGTAGATAGTGCTGTGTAATTATGACTGGTGGTGCCCTTACAGATATGTAACAATCTCGGAGGATGTTCCTGCAACGTTGGCTTTACTGGCAGCGACTGCAGCTCCCCAATATCAGGCCCAGGTATGATACCCGCACTAATACCCACACAGATACATATCTTACCTTTATCCTGGCTCTCTGCTACGCCCCACAGACGTTGGCCCGGTGAACGAGTGTGCGTCAAACAACGGCGGGTGTGAGCATGTGTGTGTGGACACAGATGCTTCCTTCGAGTGTCGCTGTAACGCCGGCTTCACACTCAACAGTAACGGAAGGACCTGCGACGGTACATACTGTACATACCAAGTCTTAGCTTACTTTCCTACTTTGCCACGTGCTGTACACTGCATGATAAACACTTCTATGGACATTATTATTGCTCATGTCACTTTCATATGGAACGGAAGGAAACTCCCAGTGGCGTGTGTACGCATAGTGCGTGTCTCCGTTCCTGCGTATCAAAACAAGACCCTACAGCACTGCCTACCCAATACTTTACATCACCTTGCTAGTGTATATCTTGTGTCTATCTATGTGCTTACAGTAACTCTGCTCTTACCTTTGATCTGTATTCGCACACCTGTCTTCTTCCTCTTCCTCCAGACATTAACGAGTGCTCCAGTAACAACGGAGGGTGTGGGCAGACCTGTACAAACAATGACGGCAGTTTCCAATGTTCCTGCCGCAATGGGTACCTCCTGGCTCCCAACGGTCTCGGCTGCGTTGGTGAGCACACACACACACACACACACACAAACTTCCAACACCAACCAATGCGGTATATACGGTACCTTAATGACTGTGGCCCTGTGTGTTAATTGTTCACAGATCTGAACGAGTGTGCCACTGGCAACGGACAGTGCTCTCACATCTGCACCAACAATGACGGCAGTTTCCGCTGCTCGTGTCGCACCGGATTCCTGCTGGCTGGAGACGGCCGCACCTGTACTGGTAGGTCCCCCCTAGTCCAGTGCTCCCACTGCCTGGCCACCATCATACACATACATACTGTACATTACTGCGTTACATTGTGTTTGTGTAAAGGGATTTCTCTCCTCTGGTATATTACGTATACACATCGTCGAAAACTGCGTTGAAAGGGTTAAAACCCTTACAAACTTGTTCACGTATGCGATGGTTGAATACTGTATGACGTATGATATTCTGACGAAAATTGTTAGTTGGAGGTTAAAAAATTTCCTCGGTTCTTAGTCGGATGTTAAAAAAAATTACCTGATCTCTTGCACAGAGAAGCTCAGACTCCCGCTACATAAGATGGTGCAGCAGTAGCATGCAGTGGTACTCTCCAGCACGACCACCTGTGTGTCTCTGGGCAGTGTCTGCAGCAGGGCAGGCCCTCCCCACGCACTCCATCCCTAGATCTCTCCCCGCAGATATCAACGAGTGCTCGACCGGCGTTTCGAGCTGCCAGCAGACCTGTACCAACACCGCGGGCAGCTTCCTCTGCGGCTGCAACTCTGGGTTTAACCTCAATTCCAACGGACAGACCTGCTCTGGTGAGCCTGAAACACTCTCACGGTTTATGAGCCGTCTACAATACTTTTTTGAGTGATTGTGTCAAGCGCCCAATTTCTCATCCAGATATCAATGAGTGCCTGAGCAGCAACGGAGGCTGTGAGCAGAGGTGTGCCAACACTGCAGGCAGTCAGACATGCAGCTGTAACCCTGGGTACCGACTCAACAGTGACCGGAGAACATGTCGAGGTGAGCAGCTGATAGAAAAAGCGTTCTAGAGACAGGTCACACCTTTTTGCTTGGGAACGACGTAGTTTATTGTAACAAGAGTCCCAGGCAATACATTATGATGGGGACACATGTGGCAGTGTCACTTACACAAGTTGGTAATTCTTGTTCAATCAAGATATTGACGAGTGTGCTGAGAATAGTGACGGCTGTCAGCAGCTGTGCTCCAACACTCAGGGCAGCTACTTCTGCAGCTGTAGATCAGGATTCACCCTCTCTTCTGATGACCGGAGCTGTTTCGGTAAGTCCTCAGTAATACTGTACCGTCACCACAGTTTACTAACTGCAAACAAATTCAGTTTCTAATACTACCGGTGCTATCCAACAACATTCCCTCTCAAAACTGTATAATGTCTGACACTATTCACTTTCTAAACTCCTACCCTACTATCGTCTATTGACGACACCATTCCACTTCTAAAATGGTCAAACTATCCGCGACTTGCTACAATGCTGCAGATCGTGATGAGTGTGCTGTGGACAATGGGTTTTGCCAGCAACAGTGCACCAACATCGCAGGCGGCCACACGTGCAGCTGTTTCCTTGGATATAGAATCAACAGCGACGGAAGAACTTGTGACGGTGAGAACATCATCATCATAATTATTCCCTTCGTCCTTTAATGTTACACAGCTTCAGACCTCATGCTCTTTGTAACACAATTAAGAGACATGCTACCCCATCCTCAAAACATGCTCACACCTTCAGACTGTAGACTAATGCTCATATTATCAATACATGCTTACACCTTCAGAGCTAGATCCTAAGTTAGCTAGAGCTCTTTCAGGCCTATGACATTGTCGTTTCTCAACCTCTGTTGCTGCAGATATCGATGAGTGTACCGAGGGAAGTCACAATTGTGGACAGCTATGCATCAACACACTGAGTAGTTTTACTTGCAGCTGTCAATCTGGCTTCACGCTGGCCACTAACCGCCGCACTTGTAATGGTAAGCTCAGCTGACCGAGTATTGGGTTAATCCTGACACCAGGGGGACAGTGTCCAAATTAGCGAGGTCCCTTTTTATTAATGACATGGAAGAAACTGTTAGAAGAAGATGTCCGTATTAGAGTGGTGTCCTCCTTGGTTTCCTTAGAGAGTGATTTTGTGGGGATCATTGTTACCAAATGTTGACTCCATTTGCCTCTTTCTCCGTGGCACAGATATCAACGAGTGTGCGACAGCCAACGGGAACTGTGCCCAGATGTGTACCAACACCCCGGGCAGCCACACATGCAGCTGTCGCTCTGGCTACAGACTCAACAACGACGGACGGAGCTGTCGAGGTGAGTGGTCACTGTTACCAGGGGTCCCCAATAACTGTGTGTGTAGATATAGTGCTTTGGAACTGGTCTCGCTAATCCGTTGGTAAATTGGAACAACACCACTTCTGTGCTGTTTAACTGCGGGTGTTGAGAAATGTCTGTAACCTGATTTGCTCCCTCCCCAGATATAGACGAATGTGCAGAGGACATCGACGGCTGTGCTCACATCTGCACTGACAGAGACGGGAGTTTCACCTGCAGCTGCAGACCCGGCTTCTCCCTCGCCTCCAACGGCAGATCCTGCAATGGTGAGAGCACATCTCCTCAATACCATGCTCTACCATATATAGTGGGCGAACTTTCAATGGAAAAAAAACTCATATTGCACAGCTTATGAGCCATCCGGCAAAGTTTCTCTGAGAAAAACATTTGAATTGTGGGATTACAAAGTTTGAGAGATGGTGTTTTTCTCCCTCTTACGTTTCACTGGGCTGTACAATAGCTTGATCGCAATGTTCTCTTACACTACGGTTAAATATTAACTGCCCAACTTACTGTGCTGTTGTCTACAGATGTGAATGAGTGTGTTCAGGGCACCCACGACTGTGAGGGAACGTGTACCAACACTGCCGGCGGCTTCGAGTGCGGCTGTCCCCAAGGCTACCAACTCTCCTCCGACGGAAGATCGTGCATCGACATTGACGAGTGCGCTAACGATAGGGGCGGCTGTGGTCAGGTGTGCTCCAACACCCCCGGGACCTTCTCCTGCGGGTGCAGCGAGGGGTACAAACTGCAGCCCGACGGATTCTCCTGCTTACGTACGTCTTACATAGAGAAGGCCACCCTCGCAATGTCCAGAGTATTGATTTCAACTATTTGTGTCTACACAGCTGTCGACCAGTGTGAGGAGGACACACACGACTGTGCAGGGTTCTGTAGGAACGCCGGGAGCTCTTTCATCTGTGACTGCAGTCCTGGATTTGACCTGGCTTCAAACGGTCGAGACTGCATCGGTGAGGAGGCATACACACTCGCACACCAAAGCTCTCATGCTTACTCGATAGTTGAGTATAATATGTTGGTTCCATCCCTACAGCCCCACTAGGGCAGTGCTTTCCTCTGAATAATTTTCCTGGATGTAGTTCCATTGCGTTTGCCTACAGTAGATCTATCAAATGTATGGGCATAATGCAGGATGACCTGTGTCATCCCTATATACTACAAGTACTACCGTACTTAGTGATAAGCTTGCACTTGCTTTGCCTTAATACTGGTGATTCTTGCTATGATATCCAACTGCAACCTCAATACAGATGTAAACGAGTGTGCCAGTGGCAACGGAGGCTGTGAGGGGACGTGTACCAACGTGGAGGGTTCGTTCCACTGCAGTTGTCCTCCTCAGGGTTTCACCCTCAGTCCTGATGGCAGGGGATGTGACGGTGAGATTGACCAAATCTTTCAGTGAAACTTGATATTAGCTTCATTTATCTCACATTTGCCCCACTGTTACTATATGTACAAGCCTCCAGTTTTTCCCACCGAGCCTTGACAGTAGCATTATACATAGCAAATAAGGCTATATAGTCGAACAAGGAAATTCAGTCAATGTTACACCTCCTTGACCAATGCCTGACTATCTATCTCTGTCAGATGTGGACGAGTGTGTGGCAGACACAGACGACTGTGATCACACCTGCACCAACACCGAGGGAAGTTTCACCTGCTCCTGTCAGTCTGGATTCAGTCTGGACTCGGACGGCGGGACTTGCATCGGTCAGCCCCTGCCATACATGTGTACATTCTATTACAGCCAGAGAGACGTGCACGTAGTTATGGTATAGTCCCGGTGTGCTTACCACAGCGAATGCGTATACACTAACTGACTATGTTGTGCATCATGCAACCCTACATGCATGTGTATATTGTCAATGCTGTGGTGTAACTAGTACAGTAGACTTAACAACAACCTCTTACTTTGCACACACAAATATTGGTATAGAATTGGCAAGTGTTTGTTCTAGGACTGTACGCTATAAGCCACACCTCTCATAATTATTCCAGATATAGACGAGTGTGCGTCGTCTGACGCCAACTCGTGCGACCAGATCTGTGTCAACTCCCCGGGAGGCTTCACCTGCAACTGCAGACAGGGTTTCCTGCTCGACTCTGAGGACGAGAAATCGTGCTCCGGTTAGCCTTCACCCACGCTGTGGCTCAACACACTCAGCAATAGTCCTTACTGCACACGTTTTATACACCTTGTAGCAGGGAACTTCCAGGGATAATTCACTAGGATATGCAAAGAATCTCGTTGTAGATTGTTCGTGGCCCACTGTACAAAACGGGATCAGTTTGTCAATGAAACTTTGCAGAATGGCATTAAAAAACCCTTCTAAATTTTCCCCTCAAAAGTTTTACACTCTATTTTTTTGGTGGTGTAGTGTGGTGAAGACTGAAAAACTCTAAAAAATTTCAGTGGCGGTAGTTTTTTCTCTCATTCTCCCAGATATCGATGAGTGTGCGTTGGGTTTGGCCGAGTGTGGTCAGATATGTACCAACACAGAGGGAAGTTCCGTGTGCAGCTGCGAGGAGGGCTTTCTGCTGGACGAAGACGGGAAGACCTGTAGTGGTGAGGAAGAGACGATGGGAGGGTCCGCCAGGCCAGAGAGAGAGTCGATATCACGAGCGCTGTTTGTTAAAAAATGCGCACCCTCACCCACCCTCTCTCTCTGGCCCTGTATGGTGCTCTAATGGTAACGGATGGTATGAGCCGAAATTCAAAAATAACCACTGGTTTCAACAAACATACATTATGTATCAGTGCCACTCTCTAAAAAAGAGCTGGCTTGTAAAACCTGAGGAGAGAAAACTGAAATTGTATATGAACAGTTTATTACTTGTCTCTGTCACAGAGGTTGCTATTAAGCATGCACCGAGCTAAGGACCTCTCTCTCTTCCACATGCAGATATTGATGAGTGTGCCAATGCCTACGGAGGCTGCTCGCAGGTGTGCACCAACGAGGAGGCTGGCCACTCCTGTGCTTGTCTCCCTGGCTTCGAGCTGGACAACAACGGAATGGCCTGCAAATGTGAGTCACCATACTACCACTGCATATATACTGCCCCTCCCTCAGCAAAAATCATAAGATCTTAAACATTTTCCTGCAAGAGGACAAATTTCAATACCCTTCTTGTATGAAGTGAATAGTCTAGTTTTATTGGCATATATTCAACCAATAGTTGAACAGCTTTCTTTAGAGCCCGTTTTCTCCCTCACATGTGCAGCCACTGATCCCTGTACCGGTGCCAATGACTGTGACCACCCTGAGCTGTGCAGTGAGGCGACGGGCTCTCCCGTGTGCTTCTGTCCACTGGGCTTCGAGCTTGGGGCAGATGAGAAGGCTTGCTCTGGTGAGCTGCCATATACACGTGTAGTTTCTCCACTAAGACTCACTCTTATGCCATCACTTGTGTAACGCAGACCTGAATGAGTGTAGTACAGACAATGCCGGTTGCTCCGACACCTGCACCAATACCAACGGTGGCTTTGTCTGCAGTTGTCCGACTGGCTACGTGGTCGGTGCCGACTTCAGGAACTGCATGGGTAAGAGTGCATTGAAGCAAATACATGTAAGACATCATCTGTTAACCTTCCGTCTGTTTGTACATACATAGATCTCAATGAGTGTTGCTGTTTGAGAAACGATGGCTGTTCACACACATGTACCAACATGGACGGTAACTTCACGTGCAGCTGTCCTTCCAACTTGAGACTTGACGGGGACGACAAACATGCGTCGTTGGTAAGCGTCTCAATGCAATAGTAATCTTTTCAGGCATGGTTTGTTAAATCATGGAGGGTAGAGCGACATTTGTCATCATTCAGTGCTCTGGTCACATGTTTGTTTTGCTCTAGTCTAACTAGAGAGTGAGAGAAGATCCATTTGCTCTGCAGTATACCACAGAGAGAACTACAGGCAGTAGTTCCAACGGAGGGGCCATTGCCGGAGGTGTCCATTGCAGCCATAGTGGCAGTGGTCTGTGATTGCTATAGTGTACTGGTCTCCTGGTGCTCCGCCAGAGAAGAGCCGTCAATGCATCAGACACCAAATACTCCCGACCTCACTGGGACCTGGAGTCCACCTCCACGTCAAGACAGAACCTGTTCTCCACTCAGAGCTCACAGAGCATGACCTCCGTCCAGTACCGCGGTCAGTCCAACCACACTGCTTACTCCGGGTACCAGCCACCTAACCGTGTACTACTCCGGAGACTCTTCACCGCCGGCGAGACGAGCTCCGCCCCGTCGTCCCCCGACGGCAGCCACTCCGGCACCAGCATCTCTCTCCCAGGCACCTGTCAGACGGGTTGCACCGGCCCCACCCCCCGCCCACCGACCTCCGACAGCTCCGACTAAACCCCCAGCTCCATCGCGACCTAAGCCTCCACAGCCGTCTGCACCGCAAAGCCTCTGCTGCCAACAAAACCAGCCATCCAGCCGCCCGCGCGAGGTCTCAGAGCAGCTACGTTCCTCCCAAGACTGTCAAGCCACCTCCTCCGCTGGCCAGCAAACCAGTCCTGCACCTCCAAACCTTTCAGAAACCTGGTGAGACACCTGTTTTTCTCCTTAATATACCATTGTAGATGTAGATCCTAGAGCCTTATTGCAGTCTAGCTATAAGAGCAGTCCAAATTTAGAGATCGCCTAGGGAATGTGGCAGTGGATAAATTTTACTATAATGTAATTGTAATTGTGTACTGAGCATTGTCAAATTTAGCCCCTATTTACTGCTGCATTCCCTTTGATATCTGGAACAGTTATTTGTTGGGGGTATAAGGTTCACATACATGATTCATTGTACAGTCTCTCCATATATAGTAACTCTCTTCCCCCCCTTCAGCTGTGCGACCTGCTCCCCCAGCAGCCAAGCCCTCCCTGGCTCCCAAGCCGACTGGCCCAGCAGCTCCCTCACGAGTCAACGTCCAGTGGCCACCAACACCACAGAACACTTCCCTCAACAGTGGAGCCTCAGCTCCTCCTGCCAAGAAGCCATTGGCACCACCCAACAAGAAACCCATGATTCCTCCCAAGTTTTAGCTCTCACTGATTTTTGTTGATATTTAAACATTATTTTCTTGTATAATTTTCACTCATTTGAATTTTATGTGTTTCGGTGTGTTGCAAGTTCGCAAGCAGTAACAAAGAGCGACCTTCAGCTATATAGCTAGCTGCGCATTACTAACTGAGCATGCGCGTGTGCAGTAGCCGCGGCGCGAGGATGGCGGAGGGCGGTGGAGATCTGTTCTCCATGAGCCTCCAGAAACTGGACGACGAGCTAACCTGTCCAGTCTGCACGGAGCATTTCAAGGAGCCGAAGGTCCTGCCGTGTCTTCACTACTACTGCAAGACCTGCATCGCCGATCTGATCAAACGTGCGAAGGGGCGTCCGTTCAATTGTCCGGAATGTCGCCGCGAAGCGCAAGCTGCAGGCAATAACCCAGAGAGGTGTGTATGTTTAGACCAAGTGTGATGTGGATGTGCAAAGAGATTATTGGATGGATGTGTTGCTATCTAGCTATAATATACAACATAGCTGGACTAGAGGTAGCTTAGATTGCCTAAGAGGCAATGTAGTGGTGGGTTTTAGAGTAGCTAGCTGCATAGCTACCGCCTTTGTGGTGGAAATTAGAGTAGTGGTAAGTGATAGGGCACTGGAGCATGAAGATACGCTACTTACTACACTACATATTTCTTATTCATCCCACACCCGCAGTTTCCCAGCAGCCTTCTTTGTGAATCGCATGGAGGGAGTGTTTTCAGTCATGAAAAAAGCTGAGGCAAAAGAAAACGTGAAATGTGAAGGTTGCTCAAAGTTTCCTGCAGTGAGCTTCTGTCACGACTGCGGCGAATACATCTGCACCGACTGCACTAAAGCCCACAAGAATATGCACCACTTCTCCTCACACAAAGTGGTCTCAATTAGTTCACTTCGCTCCACTATCACTAAGAGCACACCTGAAAAGCTAAAGGTGGTGCAGCGTGAGGTGAAGTGCAGCAAGCACGCAGACGAGCCACTCAAGCTCTACTGCCGTGACTGCCACAAGCTGGTGTGTCGCGATTGCATTGTGATCGACCACAAAGATCACAGGTATGCCTTTGTTGTCGATGCTGCTCCACCTTGTAAAGCAGATATCAAGGAAAAGGCCGAGTCCATGAAGAAAATATCAGTAGGTCTGAAAGCAGTAGTGAAGTCACTGGATGACTCTAAGAAAAAGCTGGCTGACAGTGAAACTGCCACCACCAGGGAAATAAATGCTGCCATTGACAAAGTCATTGCAAAAGCAGGGCAGAAGAGAAAGGAGCTAATACAGAGAGCAAGTCAAATGGTGAGTGAAGCCAGGGAGAAGGTTAGTACGCAGGAGAAGAATGCCCAGCTGGCGATGGGGGAGGTGGAGAGTCTACTGGAGTTCATGAGCCGCAGTCTGGAGAGGGCCACAGACCAGGAGGTCCTGAGTCTGGAGAAACAGATGTCAGATCAGGTGGAGAGGGTCACCCAGCTCTATGGCAACCCAGTAGGGAAGTTCCCCTTACCAGAGCTGCCACAGCTGGTGGTTAGCTGTGGGGCAGAGGTTGAGCAGGTTATTCAAACTAAGATATCTGTCGCTGAGAAAGGTAAACTGCAATGGCCACTGTTTCTAATATTATTACTTGTCTCCCTGAATATTAGAGCCGGAGATCTATTACCAGGTAAAGCATTCACACACTAGCTCAATGGGTTCTGACACTATTAATGATATTTTGTCTTCATTTCCACTTCACTACCACACATTGTCTATCTCTACCACTACAGGAAGTAAGTGACAATGGCACATTAATAGTGAATGTTTGAACTACTTTTGTCTTCATCTTCCTCTCCACTTCACTACCACACATTGTCTATCTCTACCACTGCAGGAAGTAAGTGACAATGGCACATTAATAGTAAATGATTGGACTACTTTTGTCTTCATCTTCCTCTCCACTTCACTACCACACATTGTCTATCTCTACCACTGCAGGAAGTAAGTGACAATGGCACGTCAATAGTGAATGTTTTAACTGACGTTAATAGTGAATGTTATTGAACTAATTTTGTCTTCATCTTCCTCTCCACTTCACTACCACACATTGTCTATTTCTACCACTGCAGGAGGTAAGTGACCAATAGTGAATGTTTTGAACTACATCTTCTTCTCCACTTCACTACCACACATTGTCTATCTCTACCACTACAGGAAGTAAGTGACAATGGCACATCAATAGTGAATGTTTGAACTACTTTTTTCTTCATCTTCCTCTCCACTTCACTACCACACATTGTCTATCTCTACCACTGCAGAGAGTAAGTGACAATGGCACATTAATAGTGAATGTTTGAACTACTTTTGTCTTCATCTTCCTCTCCACTTCACTACCACACATTGTCTATCTCTACCACTGCAGGATGTAAGTGACAATGGCACATCAATAGTGAATGTTTTGAACTACTTTTGTCTTCATCTTCCTCTCCACTTCACTACCACACATTGTCTATCTCTACCACTGCAGGAAGTAAGTGACAATGGCACATTAATAGTGAATGTTTGAACTACTTTTGTCTTCATCTTCCTCTCCACTTCACTACCACACATTGTCTATCTCTACCACTGCAGAGAGTAAGTGACAATGGCACATCAATAGTGAATGTTTGAACTACTTTTTGTCTTCATCTTCCTCTCCACTTCACTACCACACATTGTCTATCTCTACCACTGCAGGAAGTAAGTGACAATGGCACATTAATAGTGAATGTTTTGAACTACTTTTGTCTTCATCTTCCTCTCCACTTCACTACCACACATTGTCTATCTCTACCACTGCAGGAGTAAGTGACAATGGCACATCAATAGTGAATGTTATTGAACTACTTTTGTCTTCATCTTCCTCTCCACTTCACTACCACACATTGTCTATCTCTACCACTGCAGCAGTAAGTGACAATGGCACATCAATAGTGAATGTTATTGAACTACTTTTGTCTTCATCTTCCTCTCATCTTCACTACCACACATTGTCTATTTTGTCTTCATCTTCCTCTCCACTTCACTACCACACATTGTCTATCTCTACCACTGCAGGAGTAAGTGACAATGGCACATCAATAGTGAATGTTTGAACTACTTTTGTCTTCATCTTCCTCTCCACTTCACTACCACACATTGTCTATCTCTACCACTGCAGGCAGTAAGTGACAATGGCACATTAATAGTGAATGTTTTTGAACTACTTCTGTCTTCATCTTCCTCTCCACTTCACTACCACACATTGTCTACCACTGCAGCCAGTAAGTGACAATGGCACATCAATAGTGAATGTTATTAACCCTCGCCTGCGCGCATGCGCAGCGAGGGTTATTGCAGTCGGTCTGTCTGTGCGTGTGTGTGTGTGTGTGTGTGTGCGTGTATCCGTCCGTCCTCCGTTTTTCTCGGTAACCGCGGCAACTCTGAGCGTGAAACGTGGACATATTTTCAACTAGGAGGAATGCATGGTAAAATAAGATTCTGGAGCGGAGAAGCCTGGGGGAAGCTGGTGAAACGGACGGCTGCCGAGGTGGGTGTGCGTCAAATAGAGATCGCGAACCATCGTTGTATAATACTTAGATGCTAGATTCTTTGCGTGTGTGGAGAAGATTTGCTGGTCTGGCTGTATTGATGGTACAGTTGATTGCCGGTGAAGTTAGAGCAGCACACGCCCCAGTGAATCCGTTCAGTGAAGGAGCCACTGAGGTAGCGTAGCTATGTAGCTGAATAGTGGTGAGGGTTGTCAAGACCAGTGCTTTTCACTTTGCTGTAGTAGTAACTACGCATGTGGCAAAAACTGAAGTAGTGTAGCTAGTTGCCATTGGCTGAATAAAGAATAAAGTGGCGAGGGTTATGCACTTTCAAGTGCTTTTAATTGACCTAGTTTTTTCTTCTCTACCACATTGCACTGCAGAGAGTAAGTTCTTGTTACCACAATTTGTTTTATGGTTTTATGTCATATCTCTACCACTGCAGCAGTCTTAATGCCACCGCGCCACCTTGTCTTGATTGGCGCACAGTTGGTTATGACGTCCCTTTCCTTCTTACTAATTTATGTAAATTAGTATCCCTTACTCATAAGACATGCAAAATAGACACTACAGCATTAGACCACATTATTGCTATAATATTGCTGTTTGATTTTCTTGTTGCACTCTCATTTGCAACGTCATTGTGCTGTAATACTGGGGGCGGGGCTTGAGTCGTGTGATGACCACTCCCACCACTGACCACACCCATCCTGCGCAGCAGACTGGGTGGGGCATTCCTGAACCTCTGTCCGACTGCCAGTAGCCTATTGGTAACCTGTGACCCCTGCTGTGGCTGGGAAGAGGGAGGGGCAGAAGTAATAGTTTCCTCCACTGTAGCAGACTCCCCTGTTCCTCCAATGTCAGGTCCACCATCAGAGGGTATGTGGTCATGGTGAGGTCTGATTTGCTGGAGAGGAACCTCCAGTGATTGGTGGGTCTTCTGCTGCCCCTGACCTCGACAAACCCTGCCCAGCAGTTTCCCTCTCAGCTGGTCGAGTCTTACTCCTCCCCGTCCTGAAGATGATGCTGGTTCACTCGATGCCATTTCAGGCTGCGAACTAACGAGGTGGGTGTGGTCATAGACTGTCCCCAGTCCACGCCGGGGGAGTGGTTCAGTACCGGAATCTGACCCGGAGTTCAGTGGTGGCATCGTCTCAAAGGCAAAGTTCCTTGCACTGACGTGTCCACCAGGATGATCGTGGTCAGCAGTAGTGATGGAGGGAGGAGGTGAAAGACTGTCCTCGTTGTTGACACTGGAGATGATGTCATCGAAGCTCTGACTGCAAAGTCGCTGAATCCTGCGAGTCGGCACAGGTCTCTTAGGCAGAGTAGGAGAGGCTGGCATTGAGAGAGACTGCTCTCTCTCATCCTCTTCTTCTTCCTCTTCCTCCCACATCTCTCCCTCCTCGACTGAATCTCCTCCATCTCCCCCCTCCTCCTTAGCCTTGTTAGTTCTTGACAAGAGGGTCTCCTCCCACGCCAGCTCTTTGGGCATCACTAGATATATGACTCCCTGATGGACTGGACCTTTCTTCCTATATATGACAAGCATACAGAGGACCTCTACATTCTATATACTGTTACTGCTGCTGCTGCTATACCAAGGCTCCTCAGGCACCATACTGGGTGGATAAGTATTGTATTTGTAGAGGTGTAGTACGTAGCTATGTATGTCTATAAGGTAAAGGAAGGCCTTAGTTGAACTCACTTCGTCCTACTAAGACATCTACTAATGTTGTAGTAAGGTGGATAGTATCTTTAGAGGTGTAGTGGTAAAGTAAGGTCTTAGTTGAACCGACTTGGTCCTACTATATAAGACATTAGCATGGGCATCTACTAATGTTGTGGTAAGGTGTACGCAACTGCAGGTTTAACTCACTTGGTAAGCTTTTGCTCCTGTACCAAGATGTTAGTACAGATGCTGGAGAGGGTTCTGGCAATACTCAGCAGAATATCTGCACACAAGATATACACTACATCACTCACATACACCCTACTACTAGTAGCAGTAATGGTTACCTCTGTCTTCTTCCATGGAGGTAAAGTTGACGGTCTTGAGAGTGAAGTAGCACTGTCTGGAGTCCATGAGAGTGTAGTAGAGACGCATGTGCAGCCTCTTCTGAGAGCTCCTCAGGATGGTACCCAGTGGACCTGTGGCAGGGACACAACCAGCATATTACGACTCTGTATACACTCTTAGTAAGGAGCCAACTTCAACACCAGTATGTAGCCACTTGTAAAACACTGCTCACCAATGACTATCTTCTTGACCTTCTCCATGGGAATACGAATGAAGCAGTTCACCTGATCATCCTCCACATTATAGCTGTACACACACACACACACACACAGACACAGACCACACATGATATGCAACACGAACCTTAATCCTGTGGTGCTAGATACACATTGTTGGCACTACATAGAATCTTAACCATGATGCACCAACACACACTATAGCAAGAAGCATCACAACTTCATGGTTTTATGGGCCATTCGCAAAGTTATTAAAGTTCCCACTATAATATACTGCTTGTGTATGGAACGCCTATATTATACACATGAGTCATATATACTAAGATCCTCAGACCTGGCAATGCAGAGCTGGTTCTGCTCCCTACACTGAAGGACCACACAGTCCTCCTCCTTCCTCGAGCCCTCCACGAAGCTGTAGCCGGCGGCCTCCACCAGTGCCCAGCCCACCACCGTGAGGGTCTTGGTGGGAAACAGCTCCTCGCGACACAGCTGGACCATCTCCGCAATGGCCTGCTCTCTGTCCAGAGACCACAGCTCCTCCTCCACTGCTTCCTCTTCTTCCTCCTCCTCACCTCCTCCTTTGCCTCTCAGAGAGGGCGGCAGTGATGAGAAGGCTTCGCTGTGGGGAACCCCTTGCATCAGGTCTGTTGATGAAAAAAACAGTAAGTATCAGGCTTACTCCTACTGTCAGTAGAGAAGGCCTAAAACCATATGTACACTGGGGCAGAAATAGACTGTGCACACTTTGGTACAGTGCATGCACCGCTTTCATTTTGGGTCACACATTCTGAAAAGGAGTGAGGTCTTACCTATCAGTACTTGTCTGTAGCTGTCTCGGAACAGATTCTGATAGTACCTGCACGACAGACGGTATAGACAGACTGCGAAATAAACTAGAGACCTTGAGAATGTATAGTCATATTATTATGACGGCTGACCGGTGAGCAGAGTTGTAGCCATCTTTCATCATTCCACTGAACTTCCTCTCACCATACCTCGTCAGGTCACCCTGGGAGAAACAAGAGCGTACATACACACACTAAAAGATGGGAGAGAACATGGCACCGCCACACATGGGTACATTACAGTGCCACAGGCCAATTCAGATGAGTATAGATTTGTGTTAAATTTTTGTGTTTTTCTGTGCATTACATGTCCAACTGTGTGCCACACTCAATGTGTTAACCCTATGATAATCAAAAATGTGGGACCTTTGTGCTGCATTCTGAGCTAGGTGAATTCAACTTCATTGTACAGTGGTAAAATATTTCAACATGTGTGTTGAGAGGTATAGTTGGTTAACTGACCTTCATGGCAGCGGTGCCAGTGTACTGCCGACTGATGCAGTCTCCATTGTTGGCCCACATCAACTTGTAGGTGGTGAGCATCGCTCCGCTCAGGTGCTCGTCAAATGGAATTATCCCCAGCTTTTGCAGCTATACACACACAATTGACACATTGTGTACACAGTCATAAACTTACACACGAGAGTACTCCATGTTGCTACAATTATAGTACAATATATATAATTATATAAGTCCCATAAAACATTTCCTTTATGGTGTAACATTGAGTAGTATTGACCTTGTACACATACGTACTATGGTAGAAAGTGACTTACAACGGACTGAAGGACCTCCTTACAGAAGGCAGTCTGAACCACGTTTGTTCTGTCGAGACAGTCCATGCAGTTGACTCTGAACACCCCGTCCTGTCGACAGAGAGGGCCGGACGATACGTTGGTGTCTACCCTGGGAGAGAGAAGGAGGCATGGAGTGAGGTCTCTTCATCTCCTCTCTCTCTCTCTCTCCTCACCAGCAGAATTTGAATTTCTTGTTGAGGCTTCGAGTGGCAGTCACCAGACGCTGGATAGCTCCGTTTTGGTCGGCTTTGCTGAGAGAAAAACACACATAAACATTTTCACATCTGCAGCAAACTGCTGTGTGTGTGTGTCAGTGTGTCAGTGTGTGTCAGTGTGAGTAGACTCACAAGTGTCTGTGGAAGTCAAAGGTGACGTAGGTTACGTTTGGATCGTCCAGAGCAAGAACGTGTTTCTTGAACGCTTCTCCCAACACCTGCCACAGGGGAACAGAGGTTAATGGTACACTGCACTATATAGAGGATTCAAAAGGGTTTTAGTCTGAACTAACTGCTTCTCTTCCAGACTGGTTTATGAGACTGGCGATGGCCTGTGAGTGGGGTAGCAATGAGAAGTAAAGTGACAACATTTTTAGCCATATTTCACGTTAGCTGACCACATGATTGTAGAGCGAGAACTGCTCTTCAAAGTGCTTCTTGAATGCCTCCTGCGTCTCCTCTTCTCCTGCATACCACAAAATACGTAGTTAAATATAGATATGGAATATGAACTTTATGCACATGGCACAAGGTTAATTTCAGGATTGCAAGAGTGCTTACTTCCTGCTATAGGTGTTAACACATGTTGTAATGAATGAGTAATAACCTCTCTCGATGATTGGAGGTGGTCGGTACTTGGTCCCAGGCTGGGTCCAAAACACGGGAACAACGTAGCAATAGTCCTTACTGCACACGTGTTATACACATGTAGCAGGAACTTCCAGCGATAATTCACTAGGATATGCAAAGAATCTCGTTGTAGATTGTTCGTGGCCAACTGTAAAAACGGGATCAGTTTGTCAATGAAACTTTGCAGAATGGCATTAAAAAACCCCTTATAAATTTTTCCCCTGTTATACTCTATTTTTTTGGTGGTGTAGTGTGGTGAAGACTGAAAAACTTCAGTGGCGGTAGTTTTTTTCTCTCATTCTCCCAGATATCGATGAGTGTGTGTTGGGTTTGGCCGAGTGTGGTCAGATATGTACCAACACAGAGGGAAGTTCCGTGTGCAGCTGCGAGGAGGGCTTTCTGCTGGACGAAGACGGGAAGACCTGTAGTGGTGAGGAAGAGACGATGGGAGGGTCCGCCAGGCCAGAGAGAGAGTCGATATCACGAGCGCTGTCTGTTCAAAAATGCGCACCCTCATCCACCCTCTCTCTCTGGCCCTGTATGGTGCTCTAATGGTAACGGATGGTATGAGCCGAAATTCAAAAATAACGACTGGTTTCAACAAATATACATATGTGTCAGTGCCACTCTCTAAAAAAGAGCTGGCTTGTAAAACCTGAGGAGAGAAAACTGAAATTGTATATGAACAGTGTATTACTTGTCTCTGTCACGGAGGTTGCTATTAAGCACCGAGCTAAGGGCCTCTCTCTCTTCCACATGCAGATATTGATGAGTGTGCCAATGCCTACGGAGGCTGCTCGCAGGTGTGCATCAACGACGAGGCTGGCCACTCCTGCGCTTGTCTCCCTGGCTTCGAGCTGGACAACAACGGAATGGCCTGCAAATGTGAGTCACCATACTACCACTGCATATATACTGCCCCTCCCTCAGCAAAAATCATAAGATCTTAAACATTTTCCTGCAAGAAGACAAATTCCAATACCCTTCTTGTATGAAGTGAATAGTCTAGTTTTATTGGCATATATTCAACCAATAGTTGAACAGCTTTCTTTATAGCCCGTTTTCTCCCTCACATGTGCAGCCACTGATCCCTGTACCGGTGCCAATGACTGTGACCACCCTGAGCTGTGCAGTGAGGCGACGGGCTCTCCCGTGTGCTTCTGTCCACAGGGCTTCGAGCTAGGGGCAGATGAGAAGACTTGCTCTGGTGAGCTGCCATATACACGTGTAGTTTCTCCACTAAGACTCACTCTTATGCCATCACTTGTGTAACGCAGACCTGAATGAGTGTAGTACAGACAATGCCGGTTGCTCCGACACCTGCACCAATACCAACGGTGGCTTTGTCTGCAGTTGTCCGACTGGCTACGTGGTCGGTGCCGACTTCAGGAACTGCATGGGTAAGAGGGCATTGAAGCAAATACATGTAAGACATCATCTGTTAACCTTCCGTCTGTTTGTACATACATAGATCTCAATGAGTGTGCTGTTGAGAACGATGGCTGTTCACACACGTGTACCAACATGGACGGTAACTTCACGTGCAGCTGTCCTTCCAACTTGAGACTTGACGGAGACGACAGAACATGCGTTGGTAGGTCTCAATGCAATAAAGACCTCTAGGTATCTTTTCAAGGCATGGTTTGTTAAATCATGGAGGGTAGAGCGACATTTGTCATCATTCAGTGCTCTGGTCACATGTTTGTTTTTGCTCTAGTCTAACTAGAGAGTGAGAGAAGATCCATTTGCTCTGCAGGTAATACCACAGAGAGAACTACAGGCAGTAGTTCCAACGGAGGGGCCATTGCCGGAGGTGTCATTGCAGCCATAGTGGCAGTGGTCATTGTGATTGCTATAGTGGTACTGGTCTTCCTGGTGCTCCGCAAGAGAAGAGCCGGCAATGCCATCAAGAACACCAAATACTCCCGACCTCACGGGGACCTGGAGTCCACCTCCACGTCAAGACAGAACCTGTTCTCCACTCAGAGCTCACAGAGCATGACCTCCGTCCAGTACCGCGGTCAGTCCAACCACACTGCTTACTCCGGGTACCAGCCACCTACCCCGGTGTACTCCGGAGACTCTTCACCGCCGGCGAGACGAGCTCCGCCCCGTCGTCCTCCGACGGCAGCCACTCCGGCACCAGCATCTTTCTCCCAGGCACCTGTCAGACGGGTTGCACCGGCCCCACCCCCCGCCTACCGACCTCCGACAGCTCCGACTAAACCCCCAGCTCCATCGCGACCTAAGCCTCCACAGCCGTCTGCACCGGCAAAGCCTCTGCTGCCAACAAAACCAGCCATCCAGCCGCCCGCCGCGAGGTCTCAGAGCAGCTACGTTCCTCCCAAGACTGTCAAGCCACCTCCTCCGCTGGCCAGCAAACCAGTCCTGCCACCTCCAACCTTTCAGAAACCTGGTGAGACACCTGTTTTTCTCCTTAATATACCATTGTAGATGTAGATCCTAGAGCCTTATTGCAGTCAAGCTATAAGAGCAGTCCAAATTTAGAGATCGCCTAGGGAATGTGGCAGTGGATAAATTTTACTATAATGTAATTGTAATTGTGTACTGAGCATTGTCAAATTTAGCCCCTATTTACTGCTGCATTCCCTTTGATATCTGGAACAGTTATTTGTTGGGGGTATAAGGTTCACATACATGATTCATTGTACAGTCTCTCCATATATAGTAACTCTCTTTCCCCCCCTTCAGCTGTGCGACCTGCTCCCCCAGCAGCCAAGCCCTCCCTGGCTCCCAAGCCGACTGGCCCAGCAGCTCCCTCACGAGTCAACGTCCAGTGGCCACCAACACCACAGAACACTTCCCTCAAACAGTGGAGCCTCAGCTCCTCCTGCCAAGAAGCCATTGGCACCACCCAACAAGAAACCCATGATTCCTCCCAAGTTTTAGCTCTCACTGATTTTTGTTGATATTTAAACATTATTTTCTTGTATAATTTTCACTCATTTGAATTTGATGTGTTTGGTGTGTTGCAAGTTCGCTGGTGTGTCGCGATTGCATTGTGATCGACCACAAAGATCACAGGTATGCCTTTGTTGTCGATGCTGCTCCACCTTGTAAAGCAGATATCAAGGAAAAGGCTGAGTCCATGAAGAAAATATCAGTAGGTCTGAAAGAGGTAATGGAGTCACTGGATGACTCTAGAAAAGCTGGCTGACAGTGAACTGCCACCACCAGGAAATAAATGCTGCCATTGACAAGTCATTGCAAAGCAGGGCAGAAGAGAAAGAGCTAATACAGAGAGCAGTCAAAGGGTGAGTGAAGCCAGGGAGAAGGTTAGTACGCAGGAGAAGAATGCCCAGCTGGCGATGGGGGAGGTGGAGAGTCTACTGGAGTTCATGAGCCGCAGTCTGGAGAGGGCCACAGACCAGGAAGTCCTGAGTCTGGAGAAACAGATGTCAGATCAGGTGGAGAGGGTCACCCAGCTCTATGGCAACCCAGTAGGGAAGTTCCCCTACCAGAGCTGCCACAGCTGGTGGTTAGCTGTGGGGCAGAGGTTGAGCAGGTTATTCAAACTAAGATATCTGTCGCTGAGAAAGGTAAACTGCAATGGCCACTGTTTCTATATTATTACTTGTCTCCCTGAATATTAGAGCCAGAGATCTATTACCAGGTAAAGCATTCACACACTAGCTCTATGGGTTATATTTTGACATCTCTCTGACACTATTAATGATATTTTGTCTTCATTTCCACTTCACTACCACACATTGTCTATCTCTACCACTACAGGAAGTAAGTGACCATGGCACATCAATAGTGAATGTTATTGAACTACTTTTTCCCTTCATCTTCCTCTCCACTTCACTACCACACATTGTCTATCTCTACCACTGCAGGAAGTAAGTGACCATGGCACATCAAAAGTGGATGTTATTGAACTGCTTTTGTCTTCATCTTCCTCTCCACTTCACTACCACACATTGTCCATCTCTACCACTGCAGAGAGTAAGTGACAATGGCACATCAAAAGTGAATGTTATTGAAATACTCATCTTTCTCTCCACTTCACTACCACACATTGTCTATCTCTATCACTGCAGAGAGTAAGTGACATTGGCACATCAAAAGTGAATGTTATTGAAATACTTTTGTCTTCATCTTCCTCTCCACTTCACTACCACACATTGTCCTCTTCCACTGCAGGAAGTAAGTGACCATGGCACATCAAAAGTGAATGTTATTGAAATACTTTTGTCTTCATCTTCCTCTCCACTTCACTACCACACATTGTCTATCTCTACCACTGCAGGAAGTAAGTGACCATGGCACATCAATAGTGGATGTTATTAACCCTCGGCGCGCATGCGCAGCGAGAGTTACAGTAGTTGGTCTGTGTGTGTGTGTGTGTGTGTCCACGACTATTCTCGCACTACAGGCTACGAGGCGGCCTAAGAGCGATACCCAAACGCTTCAGTGCTACAAGCGCATGAAGAATAAAATGGTGATTTTTCTGAAACGACAGCATTTGAGCGCGAGAAACTGGCACAGTCCCAGACCACGTAGCGTGGCCCAACCCATCAATAATTAGTGGTGCGCATGCGTGTATTAGACGCGTGAGATATGCCATGAAAACAAGCGAAAAAGCCAATATTATGCATAATCGCACTGGGCTTACCGCGACCTGATCTGCTCGCTCTGTGTACCTTGGGGGATCAGGAAGTCACAATGAATGGCATGTATCGATTCCCATATGCTATCTACTACTGTAGCTAGCCCGTGTCAGACTCTCCGCGAGGTACTAGCAGGAGACCACGAGTACAAATAGCCCAGCCCATCAATTAGCAGTATTGCGCATGCGCAGTTCAAAGAGGGTTTGCACTTTAGGTGCTTTTCATTGAACTATTTTTTCCTTCATCTTTCTCCACTTCACTACCACACATTGTCTATCTCTACCACTGCAGGAAGTAAGTGACAATGGCACATCAAAAGTGAATGTTATTGAAATACTTTTGTCTTCATCTTCCTCTCCACTTCACTACCACACATTGTCCATCTCTACCACTGCAGAGAGTAAGTTACAATGTGACATCAAAAGACAACTGCTTTTGTCTTCATCTTCCTCTCCACTTCACTACCACACATTGTCTATCTCTACCACTGCAGGAAGTAAGTGACAATGGCACATCAAATAGTGAATGTTATTGAACTACTTTTGTCTTCATCTTCCTCTCCACTTCACTACCACACATTGTCTATCTCTACCACTGCAGGAGTAAGTGACAATGGCACATGAAATAGTGAATGTTATTGAACTACTTTTGTCTTCATCTTCCTCTCCACTTCACTACCACACATTGTCTATCTCTACCACTGCAGGAAGTAAGTGACAATGGCACATCAATAGTGAATGTTTTGAACTACTTTTGTCTTCATCTTCCTCTCCACTTCACTACCACACATTGTCTATCTCTACCACTGCAGGAAGTAAGTGACAATGGCACATCAATAGTGAATGTTATTGAACTACTTTTGTCTTCATCTTCCTCTCCACTTCACTACCACACATTGTCTATCTCTACCACTGCAGGAAGTAAGTGACAATGGCACATCAATAGTGAATGTTATTGAACTACTTTTGTCTTCATCTTCCTCTCCACTTCACTACCACACATTGTCTATCTCTACCACTGCAGGAAGTAAGTGACAATGGCACATCAATAGTGAATGTTTTGAACTACTTTTGTCTTCATCTTCCTCTCCACTTCACTACCACACATTGTCTATCTCTACCACTGCAGGAGTAAGTGACAATGGCACATCAATAGTGAATGTTTTGAACTACTTTTGTCTTCATCTTCCTCTCCACTTCACTACCACACATTGTCTATCTCTACCACTGCAGGAAGTAAGTGACAATGGCACATCAATAGTGAATGTTTTGAACTACTTTTGTCTTCATCTTCCTCTCCACTTCACTACCACACATTGTCTATCTCTACCACTGCAGGAAGTAAGTGACAATGGCACATCAATAGTGAATGTTTTGAACTACTTTTGTCTTCATCTTCCTCTCCACTTCACTACCACACATTGTCTATCTCTACCACTGCAGAGAGTAAGTGACAATGGCACATCAATAGTGAATGTTTTGAACTACTTTTGTCTTCATCTTCCTCTCCACTTCACTACCACACATTGTCTATCTCTACCACTGCAGAGAGTAAGTGACAATGGCACATCAATAGTGAATGTTATTGAACTACTTTTGTCTTCATCTTCCTCTCCACTTCACTACCACACATTGTCTATCTCTACCACTGCAGAGAGTAAGTGACAATGGCACATCAATAGTGAATGTTTTGAACTACTTTTGTCTTCATCTTCCTCTCCACTTCACTACCACACATTGTCTATCTCTACCACTGCAGGAAGTAAGTGACAATGGCACATCAATAGTGAATGTTATTGAACTACTTTTGTCTTCATCTTCCTCTCCACTTCACTACCACACATTGTCTATCTCTACCACTGCAGGAAGTAAGTGACAATGGCACATCAATAGTGAATGTTATTGAACTACTTTTGTCTTCATCTTCCTCTCCACTTCACTACCACACATTGTCTATCTCTACCACTGCAGAGAGTAAGTGACAATGGCACATCAATAGTGAATGTTTTGAACTACTTTTGTCTTCATCTTCCTCTCCACTTCACTACCACACATTGTCTATCTCTACCACTGCAGAGAGTAAGTGACAATGGCACATCAATAGTGAATGTTATTGAACTACTTTTGTCTTCATCTTCCTCTCCACTTCACTACCACACATTGTCTATCTCTACCACTGCAGGAAGTAAGTGACAATGGCACATCAATAGTGAATGTTATTGAACTACTTTTGTCTTCATCTTCCTCTCCACTTCACTACCACACATTGTCTATCTCTACCACTGCAGGAAGTAAGTGACAATGGCACATCAATAGTGAATGTTTTGAACTACTTTTGTCTTCATCTTCCTCTCCACTTCACTACCACACATTGTCTATCTCTACCACTGCAGAGAGTAAGTGACAATGGCACATCAATAGTGAATGTTTTGAACTACTTTTGTCTTCATCTTCCTCTCCACTTCACTACCACACATTGTCTATCTCTACCACTGCAGGAGTAAGTGACAATGGCACATCAATAGTGAATGTTTTGAACTACTTTTGTCTTCATCTTCCTCTCCACTTCACTACCACACATTGTCTATCTCTACCACTGCAGAGAGTAAGTGACAATGGCACATCAATAGTGAATGTTATTGAACTACTTTTGTCTTCATCTTCCTCTCCACTTCACTACCACACATTGTCTATCTCTACCACTGCAGGAAGTAAGTGACAATGGCACATCAATAGTGAATGTTTTGAACTACTTTTGTCTTCATCTTCCTCTCCACTTCACTACCACACATTGTCTATCTCTACCACTGCAGGAAGTAAGTGACAATGGCACATCAATAGTGAATGTTATTGAACTGCTTTTGTCTTCATCTTCCTCTCCACTTCACTACCACACATTGTCTATCTCTACCACTACAGGAAGTAAGTGACCATGGCACATCAATAGTGGATGTTGTTGAACTACTTTTGTCTTCATCTTCCTCTCCACTTCTACTACCACACATTGTCTATCTCTACCACTGCAGGATGTAAGTGACAATGGCACATCAAAGGTTAACTACTTTTGTCTTCATCTTCCTCTCCACTTCACTACCACACATTGTCTATCTCTACCACTGCAGGAAGTAAGTGACAATGGCACATCAATAGTGAATGTTATTGAACTGCTTTCATCTTCATCTTCCTCTTCACTCTATACCACACATAGTCTATCTCTATATACCACTGCAGAATGTAAGTGACCATGGCACATCAAAAGTGAATGTTATTGAACTACTTTTGTCTTCATCTTCCTCTCCACTTTTACTACCACACATTGTCTATCTCTACCACTGCAGGATGTAAGTGACCATGGCACATCAAAAGACAACTGCTTTTGTCTTAATCTTCCTCTCCACTTCACTACCACACACATTGTCTATCTCTACCACTGCAGTATATGTAACGGCACATTAATGAACTACTTTTGCCTTCATCTTCATCTCCACTTTACTACCACACATTATCTATCTCTATCACTGTCAGTAAGTGACAATCTACCACTGTAAATTACAATGTCTTTATTGCCCTTCAGTGTTGTCGTATGTATCCATGGACAATGCAAAATAGACAATACAGTATTAGAGCACATTATTTCAATACCCTACAATGATATAATATTGCTGTTTGATTTTCTTCTTGCACTCTCATTTGCAACATCATTGTGCTGTAAAACTGGGGGCGGGGCTTGAGTCACGTGATGTTGATCACTCCCACCACCGACCACACCCATCCTGCGCAGCAGACTGGGCGGGGCATTCCTGAACCTCTGTCCGACAGCCAGTAGCCTATTGGTAACCTGTGACCCCTGCTGTGGCTGGGAAGAGGGAGGGGCAGCAGTAATAGTTTCCTCCACTGTAGCAGAGTCCCCTGTTCCTCCAATGTCAGGTCCACCATCAGAGGGTATGTGGTCACGGTGAGGTCTGATTTGCCGGAGAGGAACCTCCAGTGATTGGTGGGTCTTCTGCTGTCCCTGACCTCTACGAACCCTGCCCAGCAGTTTCCCTCTCAGCTGGTTGAGTCTTCCTCCTCCCTCTCCCCGTGATGAAGACGACGATGGCTCACTCGATACCATTTCAGGCTGCGAGCTAATGAGGTGGGTGTGGTCATAGACTGTCCCCAGTCCACGCCGGGGGAGTGGTTCAGTACCGGAATCTGACCCGGAGTTCAGTGGTGGCATCGTCTCAAAGGCAAAGTTTCTTGCACTGACGTGTCCACCAGGATGATCGTGGTCAGCAGTAGTGATGGAGGGAGGAGGTGAAAGACTGTCTTCGTTGTTGACACTGGAGATGATGTCATCGAAGCTCTGACTGCGAAGTCGCTGGATCCTGCGAGTCGGCACAGGTCTCTTAGGCAGAGTAGGAGAGGCTGGCATTGAGAGAGACTGCTCTCTCTCATCCTCTTCTTCTTCCTCTTCCTCCCACATCTCTCCCTCCTCGACTGAATCTCCTCCATCTCCCCCCTTAGCCTTGTTAGTTCTTGACAAGAGGGTCTCCTCCCACGCCAGCTCTTTGGGCATCACTAGATATATGACTCCCTGGTGGACTGGACCTTTCTTCCTATGACCAGCATACAAAGGACCTCTACACTCTACTGCTACTGCTGCTATATTATACTAAGGCTCCTCAGGCATCATACTGGGTGGATAAGTATTGTATTTGTAGAGGTGTAGTACATAGCTATGTATGGCTGTAAGGTAAAGGAAGGTCTTAGTTGAACTCACTTGGTCTTACTAAGACATTAGTATAGGTATCTGTACGTAACTGCAGGTTTAACTCACTTGGTAAGCTTTTGCTCCTGTACCAAGATGTTAGTACAGATGCTGGAGAGGGTACTGGCAATACTCAGCAGAATATCTGCACACAAGAGATACACTACATCACCCACCATACACCCTACTACTAGTACCAGTAATGTACTGTGAGGTTACCTCTGTCTTCTTCCATGGAGGTAAAGTTGACGGTCTTGAGAGTGAAGTAGCACTGTCTGGAGTCCATGAGAGTGTAGTAGAGACGCATGTGCAGCCTCTTCTGAGAGCTCCGCAGGATGGTACCCAGTGGACCTGTGGCAGAGACACAACCAGAATATTACGACTCTGTATACACTCTTAAGTTCAGCACCAGTACGTGGCCACCTGTAAAACACTGCTCACCAATGACTATCTTCTTGACCTTCTCCATGGGAATACGAATGAAGCAGTTCACCTGATCATCCTCCACATTATAGCTGTACACACACACACACACACACAGACCACACATGATACGTAACACGAACCTTAATCTTGTGGTGCTACTTAGATACACATTGTTGGCACTACATAGAATCTTAACCAGTGATGCACCAACAAACAAGATAGCAAGAAGCATCACAACTTCATGGTTTTATGGACCATTCGCAGTTATTAAAGTTCCCACTATAATACTGCTTGTGTGCTTTTTACTATGGAACACCTATACAAGGGCGGCACAAGCGGTGGGGCTAGTGGGCTGTAGCCCTACCACATTTCGTAATCAGGGGGCTTAGCCCCACCACTATTATTCCAGCGTATTCACGGTTTCGCGCATGCGCAAGACCGGTGCACAAGTCATGCACAGTCAGCAGATACGCTCGGACTTCTCTAACAGAGCTGTTTGCTCGCCAGCAGCCGCGCGCATGCGCAGCGAGGGTTATTGTAGTTGGTCTGTGTGTGTGTACGTGTGTGCGCGCATGTGTCCGTCCATCCGTCAAGTGCTTTTCATTCCACTAGAGTAGCCCCACCACTTTATATATCTTAGTGCCGCCACTGCTATACACATGAGTCATACTAAGATCCTCAGACCTGGCCATGCAGAGCTGGTTCTGCTCCCTACACTGGAGGACCACACAGTCCTCCTCTTTCCTCGAGCCCTCCACGAAGCTGTAGCCGGCGGCCTCCACCAGTGCCCAGCCCACCACCGTGAGGGTCTTGGTGGGAAACAGCTCCTCGCGACACAGCTGGACCATCTCCGCAATGGCCTGCTCTCTGTCCAGAGACCACAGCTCCTCCTCCACTGCCTCCTCTTCTTCCTCCTCCTCACCTCCTCCTTTGCCTCTCAGAGAGGGAGGCAGTGATGAGAAGGCTTCGCTGTGGGGAACCCCTTGCATCAGGTCTGTTGATGAAAGAAACAGTAAGTATCAGGCTTACTCCTACTGTCAGTAGAGAAGGCCTAAAACCATATGTACACTGGGGCAGAAATAGACTGTGCACACTTTGGTACAGTGCATGCACCGCTTTCATTTTGGGTCACACATTCTGAAAAGGAGTGAGGTCTTACCTATCAGTACTTGTCTGTAGCTGTCTCGGAACAGATTCTGATAGTACCTGCAGGACAGACGGTATAGACAGACTGCGAAATAAACTAGAGACCTTGAGAATGTATAGTCATATTATTATGACGGCTGACCGGTGAGCAGAGTTGTAGCCATCTTTCATCATTCCACTGAACTTCCTCTCACCATACCTCGTCAGGTCACCCTGGGAGAAACAAGAGCGTACATACACACACTAAAAGATGGGAGAGAACATGGCACCGCCACACATGGGTACATTACAGTGCCACAGGCCAATTCAGATGAGTATAGATGCTTTAGTGCTTAGACTTAAAGTGTTCTTCGTGCATTACATGTCCAACTGTGTGCCACACTCAATGTGTTAACCCTATGATAATCAAAATGTGGGACCTTTGTGCTGCATTCTGAGGTGAATTCAACTTCATTGTACAGTGGTAAAATATTTCAACATGTGTGTTCAGAGATAATATAGTTGGTTAACTGACCTTCATGGCAGCTGTGCCAGTGTACTGCCGACTGATGCAGTCTCCATTGTTGGCCCACATCAACTTGTAGGTGGTGAGCATCGCTCCGCTCAGGTGCTCGTCAAATGGAATTATCCCCAGCTTTTGCAGCTACACACACACACAGACACATTGTGTACACAGTCATAAACTTACACACGAGAGTACTCCATGTTGCATACTATAGTACAATTATAAAAGTCCCATAAAAATCGCGTAACATTGAGTAGTATTGACCTTGTACACATACTATTAATGAGAAAGGCACTTACAACAGACTGAAGGACCTCCTTACAGAAGGCAGTCTGAACCACGTTTGTTCTGTCGAGACAGTCCATGCAGTTGACTCTGAACACCCCGTCCTGTCGACAGAGAGGGCCGGACGATACGTTGGTGTCTACCCTGGGAGAGAGAAGGAGGCATGGAGTGAGGTCTCTTCATCTCCTCTCTCTCTGTCTCTCCTCACCAGCAGAATTTGAATTTCTTGTTGAGGCTTCGAGTGGCAGTCACCAGACGCTGGATAGCTCCGTTTTGGTCGGCTTTGCTGAGAGAAAAACACACATAAACATTTCACATCTGCAGCAAACTGCTGTGTGTCAGTGTGGTCAGTGTGAGTAGACTCACAAGTGTCTGTGGAAGTCAAAGGTGACGTAGGTTACGTTTGGTTCGTCCAGAGCAAGAACGTGTTTCTTGAACGCTTCTCCCAACACCTGACACAGAGGAACAGAGATTAATGGTACACTGCACTATATAGAGGATTCAAAAGGGTTTTAGTCTGAACTAACTGCTTCTCTTCCAGACTGGTTTATGAGACTGGCGATGGCCTGTGAGTGGGGTAGCAAAGAGAAGTAAAGTGACAACATTTTCCAGTCATATTTCACGTTAGCTGACCACATGATTGTAGAGCGAGAACTGCTCTTCAAAGTGCTTCTTGAATGCCTCCTGTGTCTCCTCTTCTCCTGCATACCACAAATTAATACGTAGTTAAATATAGATAATGGAATATGAACTTATGCACACGGCACAAGGTTAATTTCAGGATTGCATACTGCAAAAGAGTGCTACTTCCTGCTAGCACATGTTGTAATGTGTGAGTAAAATAACCTCTCTCAATGATTGGAGTGGTCGTACTTGGTCCCAGGCTGGGTCCAAAACACGGGAACGGACCCCCTCACCAGAACGTAGCAATAGTCTTACTGCACACGTGTTATACACATGTAGCAGGGAACTCAGGGATATATAACTCTCACTAGGATATGCAAAGAATCTCGTTGTAGATTGTTCGTGGCCAACTGTAAAAACGGGATCAGTTTGTCAATGAAACTTTGCAGAATGGCATTAAAAAAAACCCTTCTAAATTTTTCCCCTCAAAACGTTTTACACTCATTTTTTTGGTGGTGTAGTGTGGTGAAAAACTCGAAAAATTTCAGTGGCGGTAGTTTTTTCTCTCATTCTCCCAGATATCGATGAGTGTGTGTTGGGTTTGGCCGAGTGTGGTCAGATATGTACCAACACAGAGGGAAGTTCCGTGTGCAGCTGCGAGGAGGGCTTTCTGCTGGACGAAGACGGGAAGACCTGTAGTGGTGAGGAAGAGACGATGGGAGGGTCCGCCAGGCCAGAGAGAGAGTCGATATCACGAGCGCTGTTTGTTCAAAAATACGCACCCTCACCCACCCTCTCTCTCTGGCCCTGTATGGTGCTCTAATGGTAACGGATGGTATGAGCCGAAATTCAAAAATAACCACTGGTGTCAACAAACATACATTATGTGTCAGTGCCACTCTCTAAAGGAGAGCTGGCTTGTAAAACCTGAGGAGAGAAAAACTGAAATTGTAATATGAACAGTGTATTACTTGTCTCTGTCACGGAGGTTGCTATTAAGCACCGAGCTAAGGGCCTCTCTCTCTTCCACATGCAGATATTGATGAGTGTGCCAATGCTACGGAGGCTGCTCGCAGGTGTGCACCAACGAGGAGGCTGGCACTTCCTGCGCTTGTCTCCCTGCTTCGAGCTGGACAACAACGGAATGGCCTGCAAATGTGAGTCACCATACTACCACTGCATATATACTGCCCTCCCTCAGCAAAAATCATAAGATCTTAAACATTTTCTGCAAGAAGACAAATTCAAATACCTTCATTGTATGAAGTGGAATAGTCTAGTTTTATTTGCATATATTTATCAACCAATAGTTGAACAGCTTTCTTTAGAGCCTGTTTTCTCCCTCACATGTGCAGCCACTGACCCCTGTACCGGTGCCATGACTGTGACCACCCTGAGCTGTGCAGTGAGGCGACGGGCTCTCCGTGTGCTTCTGTCCACTGGGCTTCGAGCTAGGGGGCAGATGAGAAGAGCTTGCTCTGGTGAGCTGCCATATACACGTGTAGTTTCTCCACAAAGACTCACTCTTATGCCATCACTTGTGTAACGCAGACCTGAACGAGTGGTAGTACAGACAATGCCGGTTTGCTCGACACCTGCACCAATACCAGACGGTGGCTTTGTCTGCAGTTGTCCGACTGGCTACTTGGTCGGTCAGCCGACTTCAGGACTGCATGGGTAAGAGGCGTCGAAGCAAATACAGACGTCATCTGTTAATCTTCCGCCTGTTTGTACATACATAGATCTCAATGAGTGTGCTGTTGAGAACGGTGGCTGTTCACACACGTGTACCAACATGGAACAGTAACTTTACGTGCAGCTGTCTTCCAACTTGAGACTTACGGAGACGACAGAACATGCGTTGGAGGGATCTCAATGCAGTAAAGAGCTGCAGGTATCTTTTCAAAGGCATGGTTTGTTAAAATCATGGAGGGATAGAGCAACATTCTCATCATTCAGTTGGCTACTGGGTTTTCTGGGCGTCAACGGACCATCAGCCATGTTTGTTCTGAAAACTCTAGTCTCGATACGAGAGTGAGAGGAGATCCATTTTCGCTGCTGCAGGTAATACCACAGAGGAGAACTACAGGACAGTAGTGTTCCAACGGAGGAGGGGCATTGCCGGAGATGTGTCATTGCATGCCAATGAGTTGCAGTGCGTCATCATGGTGATTGCTATAGTGTACTGGTCTTCCTGGTTGCTCCGCGAGAGAAGAGCCGGACCGCCATCAAGAACACCAAATTTACTCCCCGACCTCACTGGTGACCTGGAGTCCAACCTCCCACGTCAAGACAGAACCTGGTTCTCTACTCAGAGCTCACAGAGCATTGACCTCGTCCAGTTTACCCGGTTCAGTCCAACCACGCTGCTATACTCGGGGTACCAGCCACCTACCCCGGTGTACTCCGGAGACTCGTCACCGGCCGGGCGAGACGAGCTCCGCCCCGTCGTCTCCGAACGGCAGCCACTCCGGCACCCAGCATCTTTCTCCCCAGGCACCTGTCAGACGGGTTGCACCGGCCCCCACCCCCCCGCCCACCGACCTTCCGACAGCTCCGACTAACCCCAGCTCATCGCGACCTAAGCCTCACAGCCGTCTGGCACCGGCAGAAGCCTCTGCTGCCAACAAAACACCTCCAGGCCGCCCACGCGAGTCTCAGAGCAGCTTACGTTCTCCCAAGACTGTCAAGCCACCTCCTACGCTGGCCCAGCAAGCCAGTCCTGCCACCTCCAACCTGTTCAGAAACCTGGTGAGACAACCTGGTTTTCTCCCTTTAGTATACTTATTGTAGATGTAGATCCTAAGAGCCTTTGCAGTTCAAGCTATAAAGAGCGGTCCAATTTAGGAGATCGCCTAGGGAATGTGCAATGGATAAATTTTACTAATATGTAATTGTAACTTGTGTACTGAGCATTTGTCAAAATTCAGCCCCTATTTACTGGCTGCTTCCCTTCGATATCTGGAACTGTGATTTCGTTGGGGATAGGTTCACAGTACATGATTCATTGACAGTCGTCTCCTAGTAACTCTCTTTTCCCACCCCATATAGCTGTGGGACCTGCTCCTCCAGCAGCAAGGCCCTTCCCTGGCTCCTAAGCCGACTGCCCAGCAAGCTTCCACGCATCACGAGGGTCAACGTCCCCAGATGGCCACCAACACCCACAGAACCACTTCCCTCAACAGTGGAGCCTCAGCTCCTCTGCCAAAGAAGCCATTGGCACCACCAACAAGAAACCCATGATTCCTCCCAAGTTTTAGCTCTCACTGATTTTTTGTGTTGATATTTAACATTTATTTTCTGTGTATAATTTTCACTCATATTGAATTTGGTATGTGTTTCGCGGTGTGTTAATAAGTTCGCAAGAATTTGCAGTAAAACAAAGAGCGACCTTCAGCTAAAGGAGGTAGCGCTGCGCCCAACGTAAAAATTTACTTCACTGAGCATTTGGCGGTGTGCTGGACGTACGCCGCTGCGCCGGAGATGCGCGGAGGGCGAGTTGGAGATCTGTTTTCTCCATGAGCCTCCAGAAAACTGGACGACGAAACTAACCTGTCCAGTCTGCTTGGATCATTTCAAGGAGCGAAGGTCCCTGCCGTTTTCTTCACTACTACTGCCAAGACTGGCATCGCCGATCTGATCAAAACGGTGGCAAAGGGGCGTCCGTCCAATTGTCGAACAAAGAGCGACCTCAGCTATAGGAGGCGCGATTTAACTAATGAGCATGCGCGTGTGCTGGATAATCTAGCGCGGCGCGAAGATGGCGGAGGGCGGTGGAGACTGTTCTCCAGAGCCTCAGAAACTGGACGACGGCTAACTGTCCTGTCTGCCAGGAGCATTTCAAGGACCGAGGAAGGTCCTGCCGTGTCTTCACTACTACGCAAAACCTGCATCGCCGATCTATCAAACGTGCAAAAAGGGGCGTCCGTCAATTGTCCGGAATGTCGCCGCGAAGCACAGGCTGCAGGCAATAAACCCGAGAGGTGTGTATGTTTAGACCAATGTGATGTGGATGTGCAAGAGATTTTTTGGATGGTATGTTGCTATCTAGCTACAACATTAGAGGTAGATTGTCTACGAAGCAATGTAGGGGTGGATTTTAGTACATAGTTTACATCTTTGTGGTTGGAAATTAGATTAGTGTAGTGATAGGACTGGAGCATGGAAGATAATACGCTACTTACTACACTTATTTCTTATTCATCCCTCACCCGCAGTTTTCCCAGCAGCCTCTTTGTGAATCGCATGGAGGGAGTGTTTTTCGGTCATGAAAAAGCCCAGGCAAAAGAAACGTGACCTGTGAACGTTGCTCGAATTCCCTGCAGTTAGTTTTTTGTCATGACTGCATTGAATACATTAATCTGCACCAATTGCACCGAAGCCCACAAGGATATGCGCTTCACTATCGTCCCACAAAGTGTCTCAGGTTGGTTCACTCACTGGTGTCCACCATTCGCTCCCCACTTATCACTAAGAGCACACCTAACAGCTTGGAGGTGGTGCGCGTGGTTGAAGTGCAGCAGCAAGCCAAACGCAGACGAGCCACTCAAACTCTACTCAGTGACTGCCACAGCTGGTGTGTCTTGCGATTGCATCGTGAGTCGACCACAGAAGATCACAGTATGCCCTTTGTTGCCGATGCTACTCCATTTCTTTTAGCAATATCATGGAAAAGGCTGAGTCCATGAAGAAAATATCAGTAGGTCTGAAAGCAGTAGTGGAGCAACTGGGATGACTCTAAAAAAAGTCTGGCGACAGTTAAAACTACCACCACCATGGAAATAAATGCTGGCCGATTGACCAGTCCATTGCAAAACAGGGTCAAAAGAGAAAGGAGCTAATACACAAGAGCAAGTCCAATGTGAGTGAAGCCTGGAGAAGTTAGTAGTCAGGAGAAGAATGGCCCAGCGGCGATGGGGAGGTTGAGAGTCCTACTGGAGTTCATGAGCCGCAGTCTGAGAGGGCTACAGACCAGGAGGTCCTTTCCTGGAGAAACAGATGTCAGATCATCCTCTTACTGCAGGAAGTAAGTGACCATGGCACATCAAAAGTGAATGTATTGAAATACTTTTGTCTCATCTTCTCTCCACTTCACTACCACACATTGTCTATCTCTACCTGCAGGAAGTAAGTGACCATGGCACATCAATAGTGGGGAAGGGGGGGGGAAGGGGCAAGGAGGTGGGGCGGCGGGCAGGGGAGGGGGGAGACGGTCTGGAGGGGGGGGAGGGGGGGAGTGGGGGTTGAGGGGTGGGGAGGGGGTGAGGATGGGGGGGATGGGGGGGGAAGGGGGGAGTTAGGGGGG